AAAAGTTAGAATGATCGATTTCTATGTTCGATTTGTAGTCGGATCAAAGGACAAGATGACCAGGAACAAGGATTTCTCTATGGATATATGAGAGGCTCCACAGTATTATGTATATGTATCAGTCGGTAACAATATGTTCCGATTTCCAGTCTCCACTTTCCTCTGTCCGTCTAAAGCTTCTCTTCTATTTCCCTTTCTTTAGGTTCCTTGTCTATCCACTCTCTCCAAGTTATCCTCGGTCTTCCTCCCTTTCTTGTATGTCTAGTATCTTTTATCTTTGATGATCATATCCAGTTTTGATTTACCTGCCGCTCTTCGCCAATAATATATTTCTGTTGCCTCTAAAAAATTTTCGGTTATTGCTTTAAGTGGCCATACCTTCCTGCTATGCTCTTTACTATCCTAAATGCACTCATCATAGCTATTGCTCTCCTACCTTGTATATTTCTATCCTTTATTGTGCACTTTAGCGTTTCGTCCCTGGTTATTTGTATTCCCAAATATTTGTTCTTGCCGAAATAATATGTTGATGATGCTGTCGTTTAGCGGAATGCCTTTTGCATTAAGTCCCCTTAGTGCTTGTTCTAGATATATTTTGAAGAAGATCGTGGATACGCAGTACCTCTACTTGAGTCCTTTAGTAATGTGGATTTACTACCTTTTTTATGGTGGTATTGATGTCCGTTCTTTCGTTTGCTTCCCATAACTTGCTTTATGGGATGCTGTCATGCGTTTTTTAAGTCTACAAACATTAGGTGGATTTCTTAATTATACGTTGCTTTTATCCATTAACTAGAAGACGCAAAAGAGGTGGTGTATTGTAGATCTTTCAGGTTGAAATTCTACCTACTCCTTTGCTCCCATATCTCTATACCCTAGGTCTATTTTGTTTGCCAGGATTTTGTCATATACTTTATATGGAGTGCCCGTCATTGCTATAGCTGTGTAATGATCGCAGTTTTATCAGTCTCCCATTTTATGCATCGTGTATATAAAGGTTGTGTTGCATTCTTCTGGAATTGGTTTATCGTTAAGGCAGTTCTGGAATGGTGTCTCAAGTTGTTAGTACAATTGTGTTGTTCCACATTTCGCATTTTCAAGAGGATGTTATACGTATACTTTTTTCCTTCCCTTGTTCCTTCGGACTATATTCTGTTAGTAACTGCTTAAACTAGTCAATTTTTCTCTGTTTTCGTGCCCTGTCTTCGAGATTTTAAGACCCTAACTTTCACTACTTTTTTATCCTCGTATATATGTGTTTATTCCGTTGTATGTCTTCTCCTATATTTCATTTTTTCTCTTATTGCATATCTCCGTGTATCCCAGAGCTTCTTTGGCTGCTGAGTGTATGTAGATCTTGTTTGTAGTGCTTAATTGCACCAAGTAGAATCTTTTTTTGTTCATATCAAAAGCTATATTTTTGTTCTTGAAATGTTTAAAATTTCAAAATTCGTTTAATGACGTCAGAAATAAATTGAAAATATAAAAGGCCACACCTAAGCAATCAATCACGACAGGATTTATAAAACCTACTTGATGCAGATATTTTCTTTAATAGAGCCCTCACTAAAATGGTTAGAGAAAATTAATGTGAAAATGTATACCTTTTACCAACAAGATATCAGAATGAAAATCGGCAACTGTTCGAAATCCACATTGTGTGGATTTCGCCACAAATTGGTAACGGATAACATTGTACGTTTTTAAATCATCACATTAAGCAACAATTTGTTATTCCTGCTTTCAAATTTGGAACTCGCTTTTCGCTCTATACTCAAATTTTCATGCAATTTGATGCATCAAATTACCTTTCGTCCATACCATACGTGTATTGTGGGGAATTGCATTGCGCGTAAACAGAAAATCATCAAATGGCACAAATAGCACGAAATGGTACATTAGCTTCAACTTTGGGCTAATTAAAAACCATAGATATCATATTTTGCTGGCCTGTTATAATAATAATAATTTATTCAACAATAGATTTGTTTATTCTCAAACGATACATATATACAAAAACTGTATTAAAGCTAATTAAATTTTAAAAAAACAAAAAAAAAATAATAAAATAAATGTTGAGAATCATAAGGTCGCGGATTCAGTGCCATGGCCAAAATATCATTACTGTTCTTCCACCGCAACCTTACATTAAAAAAAAGCTATCAAAACAGGCCAGAAAATGCCTAAAAAAGAACTTAAAGCTAAGATTCCGTATTATCCCCAAATTATCGATCTTAAAGAATCAAAATTTAAACCTAATTCTATCATAACATAAACTTAATAACCTTCCGAAATATTTCTGAACGTCAAAATCATTGCATGTTGAAAAGGTAATTGAACAGCAAATTCACACATAGTAATTTACAGTATAATTGTATAATTGAACATGTAACATAAAACCGAACATATGTAGCCTGCTCGATAACAGCAGTAACTTTATTTTTTGGTTTAAGTGTTTGAATTTAATGTCTCATGTAGATTGATATAGATACAAAGAAATATGTTCTTGACCACTAACTGTGTGTATGACATGTGTTTTTTCGGTAACATTTTAATCACGTATTCTCTGTAGGGTTAAATAAAAACAAGTTTCTCCTTCCTGTGATTTAACCATACCGCCTTCAAATCAATGCGTAAATAATGCAAATATCTTTTATTATGTATGGGTGTTCACACCTTTTTCTCCAAAAGCATCGAAACAAAAACATCAATTATGCATCGTGCTTATAAAGCTTATTTTGACATTCCTCTTGGTGACCATGTCAAGTTAACTCGAACACTACATTCAACATTCTCACATTGTTATTTGTATATATTGAGTTAGAGACACAGCCATTATCTTTCAAAATTTGGACGTCGAACTTTTACGCATTTTTTTTTAATAATAATATAAATTTAAGTTTTACTTTTTGTAAAACAATAAATACTAAATTGATTTATCAACATTATAATGTGATCTCGAAAATTTACTTGAAACCTAATTTCTTCAACATGTATAGAAACAAGATTAGAACATCGGTTTCTCTAGCTCTGAAATAGTTGTTTCTAATCGTATTTAATACTCAAAACGTATTAACACAGATGTAGTGTAAACTTGGTAGGTCCAAACTAAACTAAATTTAATGTTGTCTTTATCTTACTTGCATGAACTACTTTTCGATAAACCAATTAATACGGTTGTGCGCTTGTTGGTCCGAAACGACAAGCTTCGTCCCGAAGCATAATGCTTTCGGAATACAATACGACTTGGGATAGCACATGTACACAGTAAAAGGGGAACAGGACACGGACAAAGCGCCTACGGTCCTGGACGATTATGCCAGGGAGTACAGATCACAATGGTGTCGCCCGAGGAAACTGGATCCGGACACGTGTTCGAGAGTTCGTACAGATTTCCCAGACGCGATTAGGGTGACACCGAAGGTCCACGTGGTGCCAGGTGGTGTGGTGGTGGCGGTTCTGAAACACGCGAATTTGTTGCTGGAGAATTACGTCGAACAACCCAGAACCCGCCCGGTAACCATTTCCCATGAACAATAAATATACTTTTTCTTACTGGTCGATTTTCAATTTCCTCTCCAAATAAAATACGATTTAAATACATACATTTCAAAATAGCATATAACTCTTTGATGTCACATTTTAATGTAAATATATACTTTAGAATGAGGAAGCGGCGTTTAAAATCCATTAGTGATGCCACATTCTTCTTAAATGAATCCCGAAAATGTTGGTCGAGATGAGGACAAAGAAAGAGATGCGGATCCGGACGCCCATCCACCCTGAGTCATACAAGAAGAGGCGAGTGAAATTTTTCATTGTAACGTTGAAAATTACGTTATCATTTGAATTGCCGTAATTGCCTCGTTCGCCGCCACAAAAGAAGCCGAACGCTTTTAGTAATTATGTCGATAAAACAAGCGTCTTTTCAAGTAAGCTCGCCGTCAGCTTGATTCAAGTGGGGTCTACGTAGGCGACTGAGATATCTCGCTTTTCTTGCTATTATCTCGGTAACTACTTAATTTGATCTAATCTATCTGTAATTTTATCCGAATTTCTCTTGAAATGGGTGTTTAAAAAATTGTTATTTAAAAAATAAAACCCAATTTATAATTCAATAAAGTACTACGAGAAGTGATGTTGAAGGAACGTTGAAAATATAATATTTAAGGAACTCATTGATTTTATAGTCAGACATTGTCATCAAGGAACACTGAAGTACCACTCCCGCACCTATTCTGCTAGCGGCAGCCCTCGTTTAATATTCTACGCTATGCGGAGACTATACCGAACCATGATGGAATTTTAAATGCATAATCTTCGGACACAATTGATGCCGGGAACGAGCAAAAAAGAAGGCACAACAAGTGTGCCAGATGCGGGCGTAAAAAATCCTCCTCGATTGCTATTCGCTACCACTCACAAAAGCAGGACCGTATGCATAAGGGCCCAGCTGGTTCAAATTGCCAATAAAACTCTTGGACGGACAGTTTGTACCACGACAAATGATTCTTAAATGACGATGTTCGAAAATTAGGTAATGAATACCTAACTTCCGTTAAACGTAAAGACATAAAAAATAAATTAGCCGCCGCAGTTTCTTGTACGCATTTCAAATTGCTTTGAGAAAGTAGCTCCGTTTTAATGAAATTTTCTGCTACGAACGCCACTGCAAATAAATTCACCGTTGCAGGATGTATTTGTAGGTACTCTAAAAGTCCTCCCCATCAGCAAAAAACAAGCAAAAACCCGCTAACTTGCTCGACAAATGGACACAGTACGTCGTGACTCATACCCCCTCATATTAATTCCTTACTTCCTTTCTTTGTCTGGGTGTGACGGTGCCACCGTTGTTTTTCTGTTCCCAAAGATCGTCTGGTCGTCTGTTACGGAAAAAATACGACTGGTAATGACGGCAATCGTTGTCTTCCATTGTCTCTTACTGTAATTTTACCCACGCATGAGAACAAACTAATTTTGTTTTTATTCTTCCATTGCAGCACCTCCCTCATCTGTTGAAATCTTAGGCCATCCAAGTAATTCGAAGATTGAAATAAGGGAAAACGATGAGTTTCACTTAGAATGCGCAGTTAAGAACGCTAAACCTGCTGCTAAAATTGTTTGGTACAGGGGAAACGTTGAACTCAATATACGTAAGTAAAATGATAAGCAATCTGTAACATCGCAAAACTTGTAGTAATCAGTAAAGTGAACACTAGAACAAAACGATTATGTTAATTTCCACTTAAAGTAGATTTCTTTATCGTGTAGTATCTTAAAGTACGTCCTATTATGCACCTCTGTAGTAGCTGTTTATACATTACCCAAAGGAATTACCTTCGTAATAATATGGAAATGACCTCTTTCTGCAGCGAACAGAGAGGATCAAGTAATCGAAGTGCCGAACAAGAAAGGCAACCCTAACATAAAACGCTACGACACCCATTCCAGGATAACTTTAAAACCCACAGCAGAAGACGACTACGAAGATTATACTTGCGAAGCAAGACACGAAGCTCTGCAAAGTGACCTACCGATGAGAGCTACAGTCCAACTAAGCGTATTTTGTACGTGATTTTAACAAGCTTAAAGAAATTTATCTAACAATATTATTTTCTAATAGATCCCCCAGGATTACCTTACATCGAAGGATACACCGAAGGTGAAACAATACGAAGAGGTCAAACAGTCGAATTGATTTGTAGAAGTAGAGGAGGAAACCCCCCAGCTCAACTTATATGGTACAAAAATGGCGAGCAAATACGTATGGCTTATAGGACAGCTGGGAGAGTATCGGAGAACGTTTATACGTTTACTGCCGATGCGACAGACAATAAAGCTAGATATAAATGCGAAGCCAGCAATATTATGTCAAAAGCTCCTCTCAAAGCTGAAATAGATATGACTGTTTTATGTAAGTATTCGGAATATTCTTTCAGACCATTAACTAACGTCTTATGTTTTGTTTTTTAGTTTCGCCTGCTCACGTAACTATATCCGGACCGACAGAAGCTAGAGTCGGGGATCCCGTTCCTTTAACTTGTACAACGGCTAACAGCAATCCCCCAGCGGAGATTAAATGGATGGTTGGAGGAAAGCAAGTGAAAAACGCCACATCGAGGACGGTTATATCACCAGAAGGGGGATGGGTAACAACATCGAATATTACAGCGATCGTCGAGCCTAACAAGAAAAGTTTGGTCGTTATATGTCACGGTTTAAATATGCAGTTAACCGAGAACGTAGTATCAACTTACACTATTAACGTTTTACGTAAGCTTTTATAAACTTTTTTATCGTCCCATCGGTTTTAATTTATTTTTTGGTTTTATTTAGATCCTCCAAGCAGCCCTTTTATACACGGTTATACCGAGGGACAAACAGTTCAAGTTGGAAGTATTCAAAAAATATCTTGTACCTCAAGCGGGGGTAATCCATTGGCTTCTTTAACTTGGTACAAAAACGATAAAAAAATTCATTCCGTTACAAAAACCACCGATAAATCAGTTACGGCTGAAATTACAATCCTAACGAATGTTACTGATAACGAAGCTCGTTATAGATGTGAAGCTGCTAACTCGGCCACTGAAATACCATTATTTGAAACAATAACTATGAAAGTTCATTGTATGATTTTAATTTTGTTTTAGTTGTAATCGTTTTAAATATAACTTTTATTTTAGTTCCGCCGGAACATGTTAAAATTAGGAAAGATCCTCCAGAATTTAGGCCTAATGAGGAAGCAACTTTAACTTGTGACTCCAGTTCTAGTAATCCCCCAGCTAAGTTGTCATGGTGGCGAGAAGGAATTCCCGTACAAGGTGTTTTAAATACAACCAAAGCTGGATTGCATGGGGGAAAAGTTTCTAGCATAGAGCTCAAACTTAATATTACCGAGCAAATGAATGGAATCGTGTATACTTGTCAAGCAACCAATGAAGCTATGCAAAGATCAGTTCATGACGCAGTTATTCTTCAAGTTTTATGTAAATAGTTGCAACATTAATAATAATAAACAATAACCTCAAAATTTATTTTAGATAAACCAGTTTTTGATTCTGAAAATGAAAAATCAGTGACAGGAATTGAAAACGAACCTCTTATTATCAGCTTAAAAGCCGACGGAAACCCCGGAATGATTTCTTACACTTGGACAAAAGATGGTTTACCAATTATGCAAAAAGACATAGGATCAGGATCTGACAGAATCAATTCTGATGGGCCTGTTTTAAATATTACAAAACTTAGCAGACATGATGCCGGTACTTATTCTTGTGAAGCCTTAAATTCACAAGGCAACTCAGTTGCAACAGTAAACGTTACTGTTCAATGTAAGTATTTTTTGATAAATATAATCCAATTTTTTACCATAACGATTTAACAGTTCCAGCATTTATCGTTGCCACAAGTGATAACACAGTTGTTGCACCTAAAGAAGATGCAACGTTATCTTGTACAGCGGAAGGAAACCCAATTAGCGATGATACAATAACATGGAGTCGAGATGATTTCCCAGAATTCGACGCCAGAACTTCAGTAATGTACGACAAAAATGGAACTTCGTATTTAAGAATAACCGGTGTTAGCAGAGACGATTTAGGGCATTTCAAATGTACCGTTAATAATGGAATAGGAAAATCATCAAGCAGAAAAGTCATGCTTATCGTAAAACACAAACCTGAAGTCAATCAATCCCCAGCATTCATGAAATTTGCTAGCGATGCAGGAAACATGGGAAAAATAATTTGTAGAAGTCAAGCTTCACCTTTAGCTAAATATTCATGGTCGCGAAACGGAAGTCCCATTGCAGCTAATAAAACCGGAAAATATTTTTCTACTTATAAACAAGTAAGGAATAAATTTTCTCGTTAATTTTTTTAATTTTTCGTTCTAATTTGTTTATTTAGATTGACTCATTAGTGTCTGAATCAATTTTAATTATCACGCACGTCACATCGGCTGATTACGGTAACTACGAATGCGTAGCAAGAAATGAATTGGGTTTCGCTACGAGTTCGCCGAGATTAGAAATCACTTCATCTCCAGACACGCCTAGCTTGTTAACAATACTAAACGTCACACACGATTCGGTGACGCTCCAATGGGTACCTGGTTTTAATGGAGGCATGCAAGCATCATACAGGATCAGGTATCGAGAAATCGAAGACCAAAACTACAAATACGAAGATGTTCCGCCATCGAATTCGACTCAACACACCGTTAGAGGTTTGGAGATTAGTACAGGATATGTCTTTTCCATAATGGCTTCGAATAAATTGGGTAACAGCAAATACATGCCAGATGTAGTTTCAGCAAAGACATTGAGTAAGTTTATATTATCTATTTATGTGTTGAATGTTGATGAGAAGTTGGTGGTAACGGTTTAATTAGAACCTTTAAATTAAAAACTTTGTAAAAATAAAATTACTTCACATCTTCTCATAAATACCCAAATAACGTCTTTTGATCGTGCTTTTAATAAAAAAGAACTAATGCTTTAAAAAAACACAAACTAACAAGAAAATTCCTAAAACTAAACTAACAGATAAAGCCCCTCCATCTCACCATTCGCCAAGTTCCGATGAGAAACATTTTAAGGATTTTCCCGGCGTACTAATCATAGTGGGTACAGTGGTAGGAACCGCTTTAATCCTCATGAACGTCCTACTAATCGGTTGCTGTTTGCATAGAAGATCGAAAAAACGAGTGACAGGTAATTAATTCCCTTTTGCTTTCTTGTTTTTTCCCCGATAGTGTTTTCCGATCCATTGGAAAAATACATACCGGAGGACCTGCAGGAGAAGCAGGACCTACCGAAGGTTGTTATTATTAGCGTCTCGATTATTGGCGTCGTCCTAGTTTTAGTCAATATTGTACTTGTTGTCGGGTGTATGTTCAAAAAACGAGCAAAAAGAATTAGAGGTTTGTTGATTTTTATTTTTTTTTTTTAAGTCAGGTGATTTTAAGATGAATGTCACCCACTTTTATAACGATATGATGTTTGAATATTGCACAATATATTGTATGATGTACTCCTTGACTTGGTTCAGTATTGCTAAAAAGGTATTTTTATGACAACTTCAATATATGACATTCTTCTTAAAACATCTTACATATTGGTATCGTATTCTTAAAAGCATAATCTCCAAAGGAAAGTAATCCGTTGGAGATACAATTGCCGAGAAATAACAATTTTCTAATATTTTTTTATTCTTTAGAACAAAGTAACCAAACCAGCAAATCAGCAACTATTGAAATGTATGCTCCAAGCAGTTACAACGACACGGTTACAGGAGAAACTCTTTCCTCAGTTAGCGAAAAAAGTGAAACCTACAGTAATGAAGGAAGTAACAATGATTATGTGGTGAGTGATGATTATGTAATATTGGAAATAGAGAGAGCAAATTATTGATTTATTAAGAGATATCACAATTCAGTATATTATGTTTGAAAAATTTAAAGCCAGAACTATAGTATTGGTGTAGTTAAAGAGATGGGTTAGGTTTAATTTGGTTCAGGCCACTTTGTGGACGTAATAAGGAGGTTGGGTTGAGTTAATGCGATGAAAAATACAGGATGTTATTATAATATCATATAATTAAAAATTTTGATATTATTTGTTCTTTACTCAAAAATCATAAGCACTATAATTTGCTTTTTAGTTTATGTTGGAAATCACTACGCGTGATTGATTTTTAAATGTAAGTGTGGAAACTTATTTTGGTTTTGTAGGCAATTATTTTGCCCACAAAATTTCGGAATTTATTTATTTAGTTTATGACAAAATTAGCGCAAACATCATTTCTCTTATGCACTACTCTCATCTTATTTATGTAGGTACCACATTTTATTAATGTTAATAATAAGAAAACTATTGAACTTAATTGCAAAAACACGAGGCCCACTATTCTAAGTAGTGACAACCATCGGATAGTATTTCATATCTCTATGGCTACGTAATTCCAAACCTTAGTGTATTGATTAGCAGCAATAAACATACCAGCCATGAAACCAATGAGAGCCCTATTCGGGTTTATGATGAATCATAAAGAGACACATGAAATTTAATTGAACTATATTAAAACACAAAAGTACTTTCAAAGTTTTAATAACCAAAGAAAATGCTTAACTCCATAATTAAGATATTTTGATTTCATTGTGAGGTATAAAGATTCACAAGAATATATTGTACTAAAAATTGAAATTAGACGTGATGTATTTTATCCAAACTTTCCAAAGTTCAATTGTAGTATTAATTTTATGCAGTTTTTGTAACGCCGTAGTCTCTTTCATCGCTAATAACTTTTTTTATAAACGTCACAAATTTAAGTTTCAAACTTGTTCGAAATATGCTTCTAATATTTCTATTTTTCTACTTTGTGTTTAATCAATTATTTTTCTTTGATATTCGTGATGTCGATGTCGGTCTCATTTGTTGAAAATGATTAAATATTATGTTTTAATATCGGACGCAAAAATTCGAATACGATTTAGGAGTTCACTAGTCTCCATTTCGGAGGTTGGCTATAATCATTGCTATTTTAACTTTAGACGCTGCAGCCCTGAATAGGTCCAGGATATTCTTCTCCTTCCAATCCATTTTCTTTCGATAATTTTTCCTTAGATTGTGAGGTGCAGAAACTCGTACTTCCGACCTCTCATAATGTGGCCGAGATATTGCAGCTTTCTTTTTTTGGCTTCTTACAGGATCTCCGTGTCCTTCTTCATTCTTCTCAGAACCTCCATAACGAATTGGTTATATGTTCTGTCCATGATATTCTCAGCATGTTACGGTAGGCCCACTTCTCGAAGGCTTCCAATGTCCGGTTGCAATACACATTGAGGGTCTAACTCTCTACACCATACAACAGGACCAGGAAAACGTAACATTTGAGCATCCAAGTTCTTGTGTCCAAGTTCAGATCGCAACTACAGAGTAGCTTTTTGTTCACTGCGAAAATAAATTACTGGAAAATCTGCTTCGTCATTGTACACAACTCTTTAAAGTTTTAAAATTTTGAATTCTCGAAGTGTTTTGGGATTTATTTGAAAGAAATTCACTATCTGCAAAACAATCTTCAGTACGGTTTCAGTACGATATTCAACTATGCCTTATACATTTCAAAAAGTATGGTATCTATAGAAGAGCTTTGTGCAATTTGTTGTCTTTAAACGAGCAAGATTTGGAATAAAATTTTATAAATTTTGTGATTCAAAGTCAGGATACTGTTGGTTAAAAATATATGTTGTTCAAGATAAGGTTGATGTTATCTCTGTCTCTGACTGCATGAGCATTGATTCCTTCCAGCTAAAATATGTAGATCATAGGCAGTACCACTAGCCCTGCAATATACGGCATATTTGACTGGTACTCTAGTGAACAGGTACTTCACATCAAAACTTACCAGGATATTCTGTGGATCTAACTTCATACTTTTGATTGATTCTACAACATGCGTAGAATCTCTGACATATGATTCTGTTTTACCTGTAAAAGGAGACAGAATCTTGGCGATGTGGGTTCTTAGGTATGTTTGAAATATGTGACAGTATCACCCACTTCATTGTGTGATATCTCATTATTAGGACAATCGTGGCAACACACTGAAACTTTTTTTACTCCAACCCAATCTGCATTTAAAGTTCATTTTTTTCTTGTGTCAATATATATAACAACAGATTGTATATTACATGATCTATCAAAGAAATTATTATCAATTTTCGATATTAAAAGTATCTATTTCTTGAGGAAGAATTGCTTTTCTCGGGAAAGTAATAAAATAAAATTACCTAAAAGACTGAACCGTTTTTATTTATTCATTAACTTAACTGCAATAATAGTCAATAGCTTTTAACAACGTTATGGCCCTTTGATATTATTGAAAAAACGAATACCGTGAATAATGTTACTGAACCAACAGTTAACTAGAGCAATTATAATCCATCGTAGTTTAATTAAACAGGGGAACATGGCAAAGTGTAGCAGAATTGAAGTGCTCGGGCGTATCTGAGTACCATCAAACAAACTGTATGTTTTTCCGATGAGTTACATCAGCCTCCAGAACGTTTAATATGCTTTTATACATTGATATAGTTATTATTATAACCCATTTTACAAGATTTCATTTTTTATTTTTTCATGATACCTACTAAAATGAATGTTGGATTTGCCTTTCTAATCAAAAAATTGACATATGTGTATTGCTAAATGCTGAATTGTGAATTTTGTAATCGAAAAGTTAGATTTTGTGAATCAATTTCAAAAATATGTATAATCTTTTTCCATTATAGGATGAAGGAAGAAAACAAGCCGCAAGTACCTACTTAATGGATCAACAAGATTACAACAGCGCTTATCCAGTTTACCCAGGATATGAAATGCAAATCCAACCGAATGTAGCACATAAAACTCACACTTTACCCCATCCTCACCACCACCATCAACATACAATAGAAAGAAGAACTCGTGATGATCAAAGTCTCGGTTATCATGGTACTATTTCAGGTAAAATAAATAATTATTTATTTGTAAATACAACCATATTAGTTATGTTGCCACCGAAATTTTAACTAACATGTAAGTATTAAATCAAACTTTGCAATCGTGGTGTATTTTATATTTTTTCTGCAATCAAATATTTATGGAATTTTATTTTCAAAATTTATTGAATCACTTTTATCTCGAGATGAAAATTATATTTATTGAAATAACCGTGGATAAATTAAGTTGTATTGTTAAGCTTAATATTAGGATATTTAACGGATGCATTAACAATTAATCAAAACCACTTGACGACAACCAAAATCCACAATAAAACACAACGCTTCAAACCTAATCTAATTACAATATAAAACGAAAAACGAATATAGTGAAACGGAATATACTGTCCACTTTCCTGACACTTTCAGAACATCATTCACCCCCACACTTTTTCTCTTAGTCATTGTCAACCACCCCATTGCTGTCATATTGTCGTTACACATGTCTATGCCTATTGTCAGTGGGCACCGTCCGATCTACTGGAAGAGCCTCTGCGCAATATTCAACCCTTTAATTATTCTACTATCCGCTGACCTTACACCGATCCATGATTTTAACTCCACAAAACAGACCTTCTAACTTTCCTCACTCATACCGCACCCTACATTCCTCACATAGCTTCCGCGCCTTTTTCTAATTTCTCTCGATCTTCTTAACTGAGACGTCTAAGATTAGTATGACATGGTCATCTGCTTACTCATTCATGCAAACAACCACAGTACCAGCCCCAAACTAAATTCCTGCGGGCACGTTGCATACTCCTATCGTTCAAAAACATTTCCACAGCACATGGTAGGTAGCCAGGACACTACATTTTCCATATTCGACTCCACTACTACTCTATGCCTTCTATTCACCTTTCCTTTCTTCACGTTCTTTATCATTCTATCCCACAATCTGAACTACCCTGTCCTCTCCTTAACCCGAATTGACCCTCATCCAACCCTCTCTTTCTATATATGTCAGCAACCTTTTAGGAAACACTCAGTCTAAAACCTTTCCGACAGCGGAAGCCAGGCATATTAGTCAGACCCCACCACTCGGTTTCGTGAACTCTACCACTCTAAACTTCTTCCAACATCATTCACCTTCCTCCACTCATTCTTAAATACCTCCCACGATTACATTTTGCTTATGGTATTTTGGTGGTCTCTGCGACTGTGCCGCACTTTATTTCGTTTCTGTGTACCCTAATGTTATTACTATAAAATCTCTATGATTATTTCATTTATGTTACAAGTACTAGTTGGGATACGTACATTCGTCTAAACCAATTATGTTTAGTAGCTCAATCAGCCCTTGGAAACTGAACATCGGTCCAATTTTTCGCAGGTACCTATTATTACTAGCAAAGGACCGAAAGACGTAGATGAGATAGTTGATAGTTGATGAATAAGAAGGAAAAAGACAGCTTTTATCGACAGGTAAGTCAGGCCATGTAACATAATCGGTTTAGGCGAATGTATAAATCACTTTTGGGTCAGGGCAAGATCAATATTAATCATTCAGGTGGCTATCTCAGCTTTTTAGGCACTAAAATAAGATTGCAGAAAATAATTAAAAGAAATAATAAAGCATTACTAGGATTGCAAATTTTTGCAGGCTCATTTCTCATATCTCCCTGAATATCTTGTTTGTAGTTCAAACATTTTTTTAACATTTTTATTTCTTTTTAGGAAAATCGTCGTATATAAGCGCCCCATCCCCAGCTCCACCAGCAGACGGATCCTATTTCAACATGTCTGATAGATATCTAAGTTATCCACCGCCGTTAGATTTTCAAAATCCACCCCCAGTACCAGCCCATCCGCATTTAACACATTCAATGACGCCTGCCACACCACCACTTCCAGCGAATGGATCATTATTACGTCATCAACGAAGTGGAGTTCCACCTCCAGATGTTCTTCACAATACAAGCCAAAATACTCAAATCCTTCAAGCTCAAACACTCAGCCAAAAGCGGGAATTGAGCAGTTTCGGTAACGGTTATAATGGGGTTAATGAGCAAGAAGGACACCTTGTCTGAGATAAGGAGGATATTTTGTATGTTTTGTAATTGTTTTAATCAAGTGAGAATTTGGATTTAAGATCAGTGAAGTTTGAAACATAGTGAATAGAATTCGAGATTAAAAGAGATTTTTTGGTATAATAAATAATAATTAAAAGTTAAGTAAATGTGATTTTCATAAAAAAAGATTTAACTCTATTAACAACAATAACCTTTTTTAATCTGTGCTAAATGGACGTTGTTATTTGTTAATTTATTGTTAAAACTATTAATAATATGGACAGTTTTTGTGTATATGTGAATAAAATTGCTACAAATGACCTAGACGTAACTAACTATTAAAAGAAAAAGAATTAAAAGGAAAAGGATTTTAACTCGTGACATTATTTTTGTATAGAAGAAAATGTGATCTTGTATATAAATGTATAGTTTATAGTAATAATTAATTAAACTACTCTACATATACTATGCATTATGGTTTAAACCATGAAACTGTTAACGAGTATATTAAGTATGTTTTAGTATTATCTAATAATATATTTTTGTTCAATTTTTTTTTTCCAAGTTCCACCAAAAAAAATGTTTACATTTATTTCAATTTAATACTTAAATTGATTAAGTTATTTTTATATATAAGTATTTTTAGATGAAGAAAAAAAGTTCTTACTAGTCCATTTGAAGAACCAAAGTTAATTGCTATCCTTCGGTATAACAACCTATTCATATAGAGATTTTTTTTACTTTATTAACCCACAATAATAACCTTCTTTTTCATTTTTTTGTATATTTTTTTATTTCTTTCTGTACATAATCTATTCTATTTTTTGTAATATTTCTATCGTAATAAAAAAGTTCCGTATTGTACTTTTTCGTTTATTATTTTTTTTTGTATGTTAATTAGATTATTTTCGGACAAATAGGGTATAATATAACAATCCGGGGATACTAATTGGAATAAAAGAAAATTAAAAAAAAATGTTTTAACTAGTAAACGACAAAAAATTACTCAATTTTTAGCAATAACACATTAGTAATATAATAATTATATTTAATTAATAAGCAATAAGTCAGTGGAATATATCAAAACAAAGAAATGGTAACAAACTTTAATTCCATTTAGTATAACCTAACACATCCTTGCATGTAGTATTTCACAAAAAAAAAATAGTTCGAAACAATCATTTTTATAGGATACTAAAAACATATATTTTAGTAAAAAGAGACATAATGAAAATGGATGTATAATCAAGTTCTAAGCCTGAGCTTAAACGTAAGATTTAATCCTTACCGAGATAAATCGTATCTCTAAAAAAAATCATGAAAAAATCGTGTAAATAAAATGTAAAAAGTTTTTAAAGTGAAACTCAAACCTTCCAATTTTTGCCAAATGTTTTAGGTGTGAAAAAGTGCCTTTTAAATTCGTAATAAACATAATATTATGAATAAACACAATCTGCCACGTATTTATGAATTATTATTATTAAAAAAAATATATAGTAGCGTATTAAATTCTCTTGTTCTCTTTGTTGCTTACATGTTTATATTATAAATATTGGCCCGAAAATAATTTTATAATTTTAAAATAAATTGTAAATGAGTACAAATAGTAAATCAAAAAAGAAACTGTAGCATTTCGTGGCCGTTTCAATGTGGTTTAATTTTAATGTTTTGTTCCTCAATGATAAACTAAAATGGAAAATAAAATAACGTAACTTATAAGGGCAATATTTTTAACCCGTTCGGAAAAAAAATTAAAAAAATAAAACATAATATGCGACTGATTTAAGTAGAGGCAAAAGGCGTAAGCAAAAGTGTAGTCGAAGAAAGACCCGAGTAATAAATAAAACGAGGCAAACGCTGTAAATATAGATTGGCGTTATTCGATTACAGGAAATAATCAAATTATTCAGGAAAACGCGAGAAAACACAATTCGTGTGTTTATCCGAAATGAATCGATCGATTACTTACTGTTTTTTCTTATTGTTGATATGTGTGTGTGAATGCTCACTGTACTAAAAAAATTAAAAAAATATGTTAAATTGTCCAGTCAATATAAATAATGTGTATGTCTGTTCATCTCATACTGTATATTGTTAAAATTTATGAATAAATGCTCATAATACTTTTTGTTTACTTTCATTTTAATCTAATTAATAAATAAATTACAGGTAAGTGATTTTTGCTTTTTAAATACCTATTGTACCAAATACGCTTTCTTACAATTTCATTTATTTATTTAATTGATAAAACAACATTTTTGAAATTAAAAATATCCATAAATTTAATTCAAAATCAAAATAAAAAAATAAACACTATGAAAATGATATTTAGAGAAAAGTATACACAGAGAGAAATATATTCTTGAACGAAGATTATTACTCTTGGCTCAAGCTTATCATATTCTTGTATATTCACAAGAAGATCATTTCGTTGAGTGAAGAAAAACCACATATTCTCAAAGCAAGTATACAAATATTCTTGATTCTTAAGAAAGCGAACTCTTAGTGAAAGTAAATCAATAATTTTGAAAAAGAGTATCTTAGTGTTGCGTCAACAATCCCATTTTCGTATCGGGAATAGATTTCTTAAGTCAAGAATAACGTATCTTTCTTTTTAGAAAAACTTATTCATGTAACAACAATCTTGTATAATTCTTCATTTCAGTATTATAAATTATTGTAGAATAATTGCAATTATTCTTGTAAGATCATCCATTTTATTTCATTTACTTGTAATGTCCGTTCGTTTTATCTTTACCTCAAATTTTAATGCATTAATATTTAAAATTTTAATCATCTGTGTACAAAACTTTAATTTATAATCTATATCCGTCATTGATTTGTGACAGAAAGTATTAGAAATTCTACAAATGTTGAAAGTGCACGTGCGTTTTTTAAACTCTGGTTTTTTAAATTAACGACGCTTCTGAAAATGACGTAAGTCGAAACTTGTCAAGCCGACTTGAAGAATAAAGCAGTAAAAAAGTATAAAATCAATTAATTTATATTTTCTTCGTTTACAATAATTTATAATAATACTACGGTCGAAAACAAGTTGAGTATTAATGAGCATGGCTCCGCAAATTAATAGGATTTATTACTATCAATACTTAATACTTAGCAATGTTATTCGATCAAATAATTTTTTGTCGATTTTGTTTGTTGATTCTTGTTGATTCTGTTCGACTTTGCGAAACCCGTAGAGAAATTTGAGTAATTGCAATGGTCTATTCAACCGGGGCACATTCGGACACTTTTGGTCAGCTGTCTCTATTTCATCAAACATAAAAGGTAACTACTACCTTTTAGTAATACAACAAAGTATGCTCTATTACACATGTTACAAAACGTTAAGAGTTTAAAAATAGGCCATATTTTTCTACTCAGTAATATTTATAAAAAACACACGAGGAAAAATACAGGAGGTGCATTCGGACAGTGTGGTACCTAAGAGACCAAAATTATAATACAAAAAAGAATCAGGCTACAATGAATTCAAACTCTTTATTCAATAACGTAATACATATCTAAGTTAATTGGAAACTTAATTATTGCATTTACTCTTGTAGTGCTTGACTTGATAGGTTGTGGCAGTTTCAAAATGACATCAGACCTAGGGACCACTGACACGTCCAAAATATTCGGGAAACCAAAACCTGTATTGCCTTTTTTCTCAAAAAGCTGATCAACAGCTAGGACTTTGCCAATGTAATATTTGATGCTCTCTTTGTAGGAAACTTAACTAAAATGTAATTATCGATCTCAATTATTGTTTCAAACTCTAGTAAGCTTGGCACATCAGCTTCTTCATCTTCTAGGTCCATGTTGTCTAGATGTGATAAATCAGAATATTTGCCTTTTCTTGTTTTTGGAACCTCGATATCTGAATCAGATGAAGATATCTCAACTTGAATTTTCTTTTGCCATTTCTTTTCTTTACTTACTTTCTTTTCAGTATTTAATTTTGACACCACCTTCTTTTTTTCTGATTTCTTACTTTTTGTTGGAAAGACTTGTCTTGTAGCATTTTTCTTAGCTTGTTTTATCATTTTCTCCCTTTCAATATCCTCAATTCGTTCCCTTTCCGGTGTGTCGGTGTAATGTTTGGAGCTTCCTTGCCTGGATTTACGTACAATCTTACGTGGGGGTGCTATTGGGAAAGGGCGAATATCAGCAACCGTGTAATTCTTTTTTCTCTCTTTGAATACGTTTACAAGCAACTCTTCAACAATACATGTCACCATCTTGTTAATGTTAGTAGTATCTTGGATTCCAGAAAGACCTGGCAAGTCACTCATTGCATCTTGCTTTGCTACGGAAGTATCTAAATCCTAAATTGCCACGGGTGTGCTGAAAGGCCCGTCAGTGACCATTGTTGGAAAGTAATCATTTTCAGAGAAAACTTGAGAATTTAGCGGCCAAATTACTGTTTTAGCAAACGCTTTCACGTTGTTTATTGGGGTAAATGATACAAGCATGGTTCACGTGAAAGTTGAGGAAGGTGATATATTTAATCGTTGTCCCAGGATTGGGGCTCAAAAAGTCGTTGAATGATGCTCTACATCTTGATTTAAATTTAATGGCCCATAGATCCGACATCTAGTGCGGCGGAAATGAAAGTAGTTTAATACCGTTTTCTCTACAATATAAAATAGCTGCAAGGCTCTTGTGCGTCTCGTAGTTATCAACTATGAGTAATATTGGATTTTCGGCATTGTAGTTCTTATGCTTCTTGATATGTTCCAACACATTTACAAAAATTTCAGTAGTCATGCACCCAGTCTTTCCAAAACAGACGGAGCCTGGTGCTGAACCATACAGATATTCATCTTTTATTCTTACCCTGGGAAAGATGTAAAGAGAGGGCAAGGAAACTCCAGAAGCCGCTATAATTCCGCAGGATGTTACTAATGTACCACGCTCCCCAGAAACCAGCTGCCCAACCTGCTTCTTTCAGGTTGAAAGTGAAAGTGAAAATAGATTTTATGATAACGGACAGGCAGAGATGAACAGAGATCAATATGTGTGAGAAGAATTTTGCCTAAAGTGGGTACAGCGCACGTGTTGTTTGGAGAACTCTCCGTGAGCAGCTCATTTATCCACCATGTGCAAGTATCTACTCCTCCGCATTACCAAGCCAGATTGACATTCTGTCAATGGTTTTGATGAGAAGCTGCTGAACACCCAGATTTCTTAACTAACATTCTGTTCACTGATGAAGCTCGTTTTACTAGAAAAAGAATATTCAACTGCCGTAATAATCATGTATGGTCTGACGATCCGTCGTTGAAACCAGACATCAACAGCCTTTTAGTCTAAACGTCTGTTTAATGTTGATTTCCTGGAAAATACTCTTTCTGGACGTTTGGAAGAGTTACTATTAAATCAGGGACTACATCTAAATATTGTCGTTACCTAGCCAAAACGGCATAAACGACATTTACCTGATTTTCCAGGAAACACAAAAAAGTTTTATCACGTCAGCGTCGTATTGAAATAGGCATATGTGCAAACTTTAAACCAATATTATAACTGTTAAATACAAATCCTGTTCAACGGAGTAGCTAAGTAAACAGCGACCATTTGGAAATGGAAAGGGCGAGGGGATCTCGTTGTAAGAATCTGCAGATTTAAAATCCGCAGAATTTTGTCTATGGAGCTATTTAAATAGTTTAGTTCAAGATTCCTATGAACAATTGAAGAATTTACAAAGACTTGCTGCAGTCTTATCCCATCTATCGCAAAAAGCTCGATGGGAGATGAAGTTGATCAGCTTTGGTGCTGTATTAAAGTCCCTTATTTCCGGTATGTCTTTTCTGCCACTTTACCGTGGCGTTGTTATAATCATTAGCCTCCTCAAGTGATTACCGATAGGACTTCACTAACAATGATGTAGTTCGATGCCTACTAAGCGCTAGCATAGCCTGTCTGCTATCAGTGCATATTACAACGTTTCTGCCATCCTTTGAGGTCGATGATCACGTTAGCTGCTATATTTATAGCAGTTATTTACCTGAGCAGTAGTGCAGTATGACCCTAGCGAAATGGACAGGTGCAGCTGGAGATCGTGCGAGAAGATTCTCGTTCCGAAGCCTCCAGCCTTCTTTGATCCATCAGTGTAGATGGTCAGCGTTTTACCTGTGCTAAAGTTGCTCTGGAGTATCGACTCAATGATAAAGTGTGGCCTGTTTAAGAAAGTAGGTGTGATGTAGTCTGTGCGAACTTCAAGGAGGTGTTGTTCTGGAATGAGGCTAACTCCAGAGTTCGCTCCGGACTCAATCTTTAATAGATAACTTTACATACAATTCTTAGAACTACTTACGTTAGTGCTCATATCTGGTTTATTGTTTTCTTAATCTATGATCAAGATTTTTAAAAATGCAATCAAATCCTTTCGCCGCAATTCCTCGAACATGTCGATCTTGGGAATTCTTCGTCTCAATTATGCGGAGACGTTGCCCGAATTTTATAGGACCCCACTTCGCGCACCCTTTAGGAAATTTGATCCTTTCAAGATACGAGTTTTAGAACTTACCAGATTCTTTTAATGTTAATTTTTCTGGTTTAGTTGTCGAAAATAAAGCCACTTTACGTTAAAGTCATCGGAAAACTGTCAGAAAAGCGATTACAAACTACAAATTATCAAGGGATGGAACTATAGTAATAGAAATAAATAGAGCTTACGTTTTAATAAGTCTAAATGAAACTGATAAATTCTGTTAATTAAAATACAATTGCTGTGTCTACTTCGAAAAAGCCAATTAAATCAAGATATGTCATAAGTCACATTAAACCTCATCATGGTTCATCCTAAATTACATTTGTTTATAAGGTATAGGAAGAATGATAACATAAAATGTTGCTATTATTTTTATAATAATTTTCAGAATTAACTGGAAAGAAATTTATCTTATTTGATTGAATTTAAAAATTGCTAAAACGTCTAAAACTTTGAAGATGCCCAGCAGAAAATAATCACCAACACAAACCCGAAAAAGATTAAAATAATTTGTTATTAAAATCTATGAAGCTTGATTAAATATGTTCAACATAATAATATATTTGAATATTTGACATTTCATTCAAATTTCTCGTTAAAATTGCATTTTCATTTTAAAAAAATGGATTTGGAAACAGCTTTTCAAGCTTTCGCAAAATTCGGAGTGTCAGGTGCAGATGGAAAAGCAATAACTTTAGGTCAATCTGATAAATGGATGAAACAAGCTAAAGTAATCGATGGCAAAGTAATAACGACAACAGATACTGCTACATGCTTTAATAAATTGAAACAGAAAGATTTGAATGTAGAGGATTATCAAACATTTTTAACAGAGCTTGCCAACTATAAAAACATTTCCGCTGATGAAATTATAAAGAAAATGACAAATTGTGGGCCACCTTGTTCAGCAAAGCAATGTTAAAACTCCATTTAAATTAAATTTAAACGAAATTCGTAAAACCTTAAGGATTGAAATTGAAATGAATACTTATAATAATGATATTGTTACAAAGTTTTATGGGTGCGTATATAAAAAAATATGCTTATGATAAATATTTTCTTCAATAAATCACACTTATCAATAACATCGCAAATTTATTTTTCTAACATTTAAGTTAACATAAATTCCCAGATTTGAAATTAAAATTTCATTTATATTTGTTCTTAATAAAGTAATCTTCCTAAAAATGTATTATTTATTTACTTTTTTGAAAATCAAATTAATCAAATTCAATTTAAATTCATTCAAAATGTTCGCCAATCTCTGATAAACAAATTCCCTAGAAATAAAATTGTTTTTAAATATTTTTCTTTTCAATTAATCTACAAATTAAATATTGACAAAGAGACTGTTGAATCTTCTTATTTGTTTATTTAAGATAATAAGATTAAATCCATTTAAAGTTAAATAAATTTTTTAAAGATAATCAGTTTAACCAACGGTATAAAAATTAAAATTCCCACCTTTATCATCTGTGTGTGTGATGTACATCTGTCAAAAGTGATCGTACCATTTCCATTTAGACCCCTTCAAGTCCATTGTTCGAAATTCATTAAGAATTTCGTTTTCGAGCAATGGGGGACACAAACGAAGGTGAAAAGCAGCCTCTGCTTAGACAACATGACAATTCAACGCATAATGGAGACGTACAAAGTGAGTAAAGAACTTTGTTTTTTTTTTAATTCTCTTCACACAATGACTCAAATACCGACTTTTAATTATTCATTAATCTCACGATTTAAATTGTTGATATGTACCTAATGAGTTAAATTTTAATTTTAGCACAAGCTACAGTTTCTCCAATTGGACCTGATGAATTACCTCCTCCGTTTTATCAAGGTTCGGGCGGTGGAGGTGTTCCGATGGTTACTTGCCGAGTTTGTCAAGCTATGATTGATATATCGGGAAAAAAGGATCAACATGTTGTTAAATGTTGTCAATGTAATGAGGCGACTGTGAGTTTCTTTAAATTATTATTCGATGAACTAATGTTATTAATAAATTTATGATTGATAATGTTTTATCTTTCCAATTGTAATAAGTTGTTTACAATTTATTAATTCAGATTAAATTTTGATGATAGTATTTTGGTGGAATAATGAATATAATAAAAATTGTATTGCATTACAATAACAAATTTAAATTTTTTTTGTAGCCCATCAGAAATGCTCCACCTGGAAAAAAATATGTACGATGCCCATGCAATTGTCTTTTGATATGCAAAAGTTCTTCACAGAGGATTGCATGCCCAAGACCAAACTGCAAAAGGATAATCAATTTGGCACCAAGTCCTGTGACACCACCAGTGCCTTCGATGCCTGGAATGTGTCGTGTTGTATGTGGACATTGTCACGATACATTTCTTGTAAGTAAAATAAAATAAGGAAAAAGGGACAGGAAAAGTAAAAAAGAAAGTGATTCATTCCTACATATTCTTAAGAATATTTGAATTTTAATGGTTTTTACACTTGTTGATAAGAAAGGCATCTTTTAGGGTTTTTTAATCTCAAAAATGATTTGAATAAAAATTGTTTATGGTAGTTTTGTTATCAAGAATTTATGCAAGATTATTATGATTAATAATGTGAATATTTAAGTTGAATGAATAATTCTAAAGCAATTTAATGGTTTATTTTATAAATTTCTATTTTAATCATAGTCCTTATCAAGACTTTGAAAAACATTTTTAGCCTTATTTCATCAGATAAAGTTATGTCATGTATCACTAAGTATTAAAACAGTGTTTGTTGAAGTTCCAGAAATCATGTTGCAACTTGTTTATAAACTTCTTTCATTTGATACTTGTTTCTGAAGATTACAATATCTGAAACGTTAAACATGGTTGTTTGTTACAATATTTGTTAAACACAGTGATTGGTATCGCTATAGAGAGATATCGCCAGTTTTGTCTTGTTTTTTATTAACCAACAATGAGTATAAATGGTCGAGTAAAACTTTTGATGCAATGAGTGTTGTAAGAGACGTTATTTAACTATTAAGCCATTGACAGCACCGTCAGTTGCCCACAGCGCTCGAAATTTAGTGGGATTTTTCGACATAAAATCTGAGGAACAAATCGCGCTGCTTGAGACTCAAACACTTAAATTGGAAATTTAGACCGATTGAGCATCTTTGTTCTTTGCTACAAAGAAATACCCAACCTTGAACATTGATATTCTTTTGAACTGAAGTTACTAGAGAAACCCCAGGATTCAAACTTGTACTATATAGTAGTTTTTCCCCCCTACACATTTATATTATGTGATATATGTCTTAGTATAAAAAGTGTTCTATAGAAAAAATGACTGATTGAAGTAGAGATCTCTTGAACTGTTGTTCAATGCATTTTTACCAAAATTAATAGGATTAATAAGATTTATTTTGAAATTCTATGACATTCTTTTCAAGGCCAAATAACTTGTGGGGATTTATTTGTAATTTTCAATTTACTTCGATATATTGGTTACTCAATATTTGGAATTATAGTTTTAACGTTGCCATATGTTCTCACGATTTCTTGTGACTTGTCCAATGAGGGTCAGACATTCCTCACAACATTTTTTTTCTCACGCGACGTTCATTCAGCCATTCAGTTGGAAGAGAACTTTTCTGACAGTATACTTTTTGGCTTTTTGAATAAAAATTCTTATTCTCTGTACTCTTATGAAAATGCGCCAAAGTTTATCGTTTTCAAGATAATCCGCTTTTTATTATTCGATATAGACCAATGTTTTTAGTGGATAGTTAAAGATAGTTAAAATAATGTGTGCCATAGAAACAAAGTAGATAAATTAACTAATGTTTTAGTTTATTAATGTTTTTTAATCTAAATAATAAAAAAAAAATTAAAGAAATTGTTGAAAATGTGAAAAATTTTGCTTACACAATTCTGAACGACGAGTTACTTATCGAGTAATGGTATTTAAGAACGGCCTTATGTCATTACAAGCATTCCTAATCCTATTACAAGTTCATCCCTCGTGGGAACAGGTGTCTCATACAATTTTCCTTTCAAATATCTCCACACAAAAAAGTCCAAAGTATTAAGATCTGCAGGTCATTGGGCATTGCGACTGATCCACCACGACCAATCCATCTTGCAAGAAAATGGTTGTCCAGCTAATTTCTTACCACCCTACCATGATAAGCTGCACAATCATCAAGTTGAAACCAGGCTTTTCTTCTTAAAGCTAAATCAATGTCATCCCACATATTGGCATGTTCAGCTACCAAAAAATTACAAGAACAAGAAAGCCCGAAAAGATGATTATTATAAACACCTACCCAGACGTTGACACTAAATTCATGTTGGAAGTTTCGTGGCCGAATTGCGTGGGGATTTTCATGCGCCCAAACATGTAAATTATGAAAGTTTACAATCCCACGTCTTGTAAAACACGATTCATCGTTCCACATTACATTATTTAAAAAATCCACCGACAAAACGTTACACGCCGTTCTTCATCGCCTGGTTGCAATCCTTGCAAGGGTTGTAAATGATAAGCATATCTATGATCATGTTTTAAAAGGCGATAAACACGCGCCCTAGAGATTCGTAAGGCATTTGAAATTCTTTTAATTCACGTCTCTGTCGAATTCACGCAAAATTCTTCTTCTAAAGTTTCTTTGCAGTCTAACATTGTCATTATTACGATCTACCCGTCATTATTTAGCCCTTGTTCAAGTATTAGTCTATACACTTTCACAAGCACAGAAGGATGCGGATGTCTTCTATTTGGATATCTTCTCCTATACTCTAGGGCTATTTCTGCTGAATTTCCGTTTGCAAACCCATATCAAAAACGAATGAAGTTTTTATGAGGCAAACAAAAAATGAAAAAAAAAACAATTTAACATGATTAGGAAAAAGAGTAATGAATTTAGCACGTTAATAAACCAGAAAATTGAATTTAACACTGATCAACAACTACTGGTGGTTTGACACTTGATACAATGAATTAAAACATTAGTGAACTTACCTACTTTGTTTCAATGGCAAACATTATTATACCTATCTTTAACAATCCTCCAAAAAAATTGGTCTGTATCGAATAATAAAAAGCGGATTATCTTGGAAACGATCAAATATAGCGCATTTTGATAAGAGTACCGTTTTTGCTTAAAAAAGTGCCGAGAATAAGAATTTTTATTCAAAAAGCCAAAAGGTATACTGTCAAAAAAGTTATTATTATTTTAATCCGTAAAGAATACGTTACAGAGCGGTTCTATCGGCTATACTAAAACTGACTCCACAATCGTCTTTCTCATGCCAAAAAACCTCCATATATCAAATTGGAATAGAATCGGTTGAAATACACGTGTAATATTAAATAAAAATCAATTACAAAATTTAACTTAAACACCCTGTATCTTCAAAACAAAGTGTTTATATGAAGTTTTTGTGCTAATTTTAAAAGATCTATCGACCGTTAAAGTCCTGCTACAAAAACCTGAAACACCTGTATATCGTATAATATGTCTAAAAAAAGATTAAGCGAGGAAAATAGAATAGTTAATGTAGAATGAAAGATAGTGTTTGTTTTATTTCTGTACATGATAAAATGAAGTGTTTATTTTGTAATACAATGTTATCAAGTTTAAAAATATTCCATATATGTGGAATTAAGATGAAATTGTAACCATTCAAACTATCTTTTTTCTACATTCATAGTAGGGGAGAAAGAAAATGCTTGTATAAATACAATAGCTCACAGCTTATTTGATGCATAACACGTTTTAAAATCAAGGGCGCTGTAATTTGAATGTGTTGCAAGATGTTTTCAATTCTTTCCCCGTAATGACATCCAAAATGGTTCTAAGAAAACGAATCGTTGATAAGGTAAAAAGTGTCAAGATTTTTGGCTACTAATTCAGAATGTAATACAGCTACAAGAACGAAAGGTCATCACCTATATTTGACAGCCTCATATTCTTCATTATATGGTAATAATAAAATACAGTTCGAAAATAAAGCCCGTCATCAATACTCTTCAAGGTGTTAGGATAAACTTTCAAACTTTCTTGACGTTAAGAAACCATTGAAACAGTTCTTGAAAAAGAAGCACAAAAGCTAACATAAATTTTAGTTCCAAAACTTAATGAAATAGTTTAAAATTTTAAATTGTGGCGTTCTGTTCTGCCACAATAGTATAGATCAATTCCAAATAGATACCAACCCTACTAATGAATGCTTCCGAAAGATTTCGTTTCATACCACATTCTTCAATATTTAGATTTTATTATTCTTCAATAACATGGTTCGAAAAAAACACATTTTATTTAATATGACGATGATACATGATTAAAATATTTCCAAGGAACGCATATTACAACAGATATAATACTTCATGACACTTTGAAGAAACTGATTTTTTTTAGCAGTTGCTGAGGCAATAAATACTTTTATGAATTGCACATTGTGGAGAGTGAGGCTATGGATTAAGTCTACAATGACTGACCAGCGACTGTTTGGATTGTGCATGCTCAGTATTCATGGACTGAAGCTAAAAGACAATAATCAATTCTGCAATGATGTTTTAGATATTGTCGCACAGATTCTCGTTTTCAAAATTAAAAAAATATTTGTCTAATCTTGGTTTTAGCATTTCTATTTGTTTCGCTGTTATCCTAAAAAAGGTATTTCTCTTTCTTCGATTATGTAAAATGATGTAATTACTTATTTATAGTATTGAAACTAAGGAGTGTATAGAAACGAAGTTTAATTTTTCAAACATTGCATTTTTTTTCAATTAACTAACTAAGTTAGTGATTCGTAATCTCTGTGCGAATCTCGAAATTTCTATTTTCATTTCTATGGATAAATCGATTTTTTTTCAATTGTAGTAAATCTGATATTTTCTAAAACCTAAGTTTTTAGCTCCAACGATGCCCACTTATCAAAATGTATATGTCATATTAATTTCCATAGTTTTTGAATGCTTGACTTCGTAATTTGAGTAGGTACATGTCGATGTCTTTTTATCGAAATGCATGTTGTTCGAATGATGTCTAAAAGTTATTGGTAGAACCCATTCGTTTTCTTATCCAAATAAGGTTGTTGCGTTTGGTAGACTATAGGCATCCTGCATTTCTACATTTGTCATACCATTCGTTTCAAATCACTGATTATTCTATCTAGAGTGGCACATAGGAAAGCTTTAGCTCCTGTATCGGCTGTCACTAATTTTTTCACAAACGCAGTTCATCGTCATGTGTCTCCGTAACGTAGTAAAATTTCATCTATTTTTGAAAATTTTCGCCATTTGTATCAGACTTTTGTAACGGATCATCTAGGGATTCCCGGGATCCCGTACATATTTAAATCTCGAAAATTGTCCTTGGAAATCGATTATGATTTCGGAATTTTCAGGATTATGTTTATGTTATTAATTTATTATTTTTTGAAGAATAAAACACGATCTATGGGTTGGCTTCATCTATCGGTTAACTTTATTCTGCTCTAAACAAACAACAGCCACCTGTCCATTTAACAGAAATTGGTATATTCAATAATGTTGGTAGCATCGGTAAACATCTTCAATTCGTTTTTGAATGTTTGAAAACTATTCCACCAACAAGTGTGGAATCGAAACGGTGCTTCTCTTCAGCAGGTTTAGGAGATAAAACAATAGATAAATTGTGTGTTCTGCGACATATCTTTAAAAATAGTTCTGTGGATAGTAGATTTTTTGTAATGCTTTGTATTATGGTCTAAGAATAAACTGTAATGTTAGAACCACATTACCCGGGATAGAGAATTCTGATCCCGAAATCCCCCGGGATTATAAAAACTCTTCTTGATTGCGATCCCTACGATCGAATGGTGAAGATTACCCTTAAAGCTTTAAAACCGCATATTCCAAAGCAGTTTTGTGTGGTGCTGGTTTTTACCCCCCATCAACTCAGTCAGCAGTAAACTGTATTGCCTGCAAAATCGAAATTTTCCCATTTATTTCTCTAGCTGTTTAGGAATTTGTGAATAGATTTTCATCAAAGCATTGTACTTTGTAGTTGACCAGCTTTTCCTGTATATAACGTTTTCAAATTTTCGATATCCATTGGATTAATGATGTCGAATTAGGTGGATGAAATTCCAACTTTATATTCTTTAAATTAATGTGGGACTGTTTCTGTACAATTGTCGGGAAGCAATACAATTTTGCTTTCTTTATTTTCCAATTCTTTATCTCAACTCAAAAGCCAACTTCGACAAATTTCAGAAGCCATCGACGCACTTTTGTTAGCATGGTATTCATAACGACTAATTTTCGTTTGTGAGTTTCAGACATATTGGCGCAGCATAGAATAGCAATCCGACTCAGAGCATTTTTGTATCCAGACATTGCAATATACGAATAACATTAGGACCCATATGGTGTAGCTTGATAATAACCGCTTTGTCAATCGTAACTTTACTAATTTCTTATTGTTAGTCATCTCCGACTACCTTAAACAGCCGTTTTCTTATACAATTCCAATATACCGCAAAAAAAAAACGCCAAATAGACGAGTGCGTTTTCAAATAATCTTGAACGTTTAAAACGGCGACCGGCAGAAAAAACATCATTTTGGCAAAAGCTATTCCAATTTAGAGATTAAAATGTGCATTAATTAGATAGTGTAGATTCCGTTCTTTGAAATTTGTACCAAATAAGTTGGTATCTCGATTAATCGGTGTCCCAATTAAGCGGAATCGACTGCAATTGTATTGCATGATTATAAAAGATAAAAATAGTAAAGGTACAGAATAATGTTAATAACAAACAGATCAATTTTTACAAAACTTAAAGCTGGCCTAATATTTTACATTAATAACTTGATACTAATGTTATATTAACAAGCTCTAACGCTAATTATTGTCTTTATGTGTCTTTTGATATTGCGTAAAATGTGATTTTTTCAAAACTACTATTACCTCTATTAACTAAGTGAAATTTTAGACATTTTCTAAATAAGATTGAAAGTAAAGAGATCCAAATTAGTATTTATGTTTAACATACTTTCTTGTTGTTTCAGTTTAATACTATGAATAACGCATTAGCGAGGTGCCCACATTGCAGAAAAGTGTCATCAGTTGGACCGGATTACGCAAAAGGTCGTGCAAATGTTTTCTTAATCTTTGGTCTTTTATTTCTCTTCATCGGAATTGGCGTGACCGTGGGTACATATACCTTTGCAGTGAAACATGGTGGAATTTACGTTGCCTATGTAGGCGCTTTCTTATTATCTATCACGCTTCTAGCTCGATGTGTTTATTATTGTTTCATGAAAGTTAGCATTATTGAAGGACCTATGTAAAAAAACTTTAAAAGATGGAAAATAAGATAAATAATAGTGAGGAGGTGAGATTGAGGAACGATTTTTATACCGTTTATACATTACTCAGTTTTTTTTAATTGGTTTTGAAAATCTTTGAAAAAAATGTATCGTAAGTTTTTTATTAAGGTATCTAATTTGGATCAATTTAGGTTATTATTTTTTTTAAATGTAATTTGTATCAAAATAAGAAATAATGCTGGGTAAATCTTGTCTTAAAAAAATCAAAAATGGATAGAGAAGAGAACTACATTGAGGTTGCTTCCTGCATTAATTTAAGCTTAGTTATTGATTAAATAGATTTAAGATTAAAGATAACCCAGGATTTATTGTTTTAACCCAACAATAGACGTGTTAAATTAATAATAACTAATAATTGTTATTTTGTTTCTTGATGTGATAATAAAATATGTATAAGCGGAAAAGCCATGACAAAAAATTAAAAGAAAAAGTAAATATGGTTGGATGAAAAGAACATTACACTTGTAATATAATTTTACATTCCCAATCAAAAGAAATCTTCAATTAAAATTAAAATCCACATGAATCGCTTATTGTTATTAAAATCTTTTTGTTGTATCCCACAAACAATTTTAAACAAATCACATAAATTTTAATTTTAATTGAAGATTTTTAAGGAATATAAACTAATTAAATATTTACAAAAATACAATATGCGTCTATATATAACTAATAAAAAAATATTTGTCGTTTTCCTTATTTTAATTAAACTATAACATATTCTTTCCAATTTAGTGTGGCTATTATTCGGCTTTACGCGCAAGATCTGAATTTAATTCATTAAATTAATTACAATAATAATTATTCCGTGTAGTTGTTCAAGTAAATAATTTGATTTTAATTCAAATTGAAGTAAAAATATTGAAGAAAGTTAATTATTAACAAATTAAGTGTGTGAGTGTGTGAAAAAATCTCGACCGTAAACGTATTTGAGAATGAAGGACTGTAATATAAACTTGCATATAACTTCTGTAATAATAGGTTTATAAATATTATGATTATTATGCGTGATAATAAATTTATTTTATTTTAAAACAAAAAAAAAGTTTTATTTATGAACATATCTCCTTTCTTCACTTTTTTCATAATTTGTGTCTTCTTTAAAAGACCAAAGTGAATAAAGGGTGTAGAAACCAATTGATCCCAAAAATGTTAAGCTACAAATTCCTATTGCTAAGAGAACATTTTCTCTTAATACAACAATTTCTTTTTGGTTGTAAATATCTGGTACAATTGGAGTAATTATTAACACTATTATTAAATAAATTAGAAATGATATTGTTCCAACAAGGATAAGACAACCCAAGGTTTTATCTGAAAACCCCATTATTTTAATTAATTAAATGAGTAATAAGTTATTCGCCAAAGTATTCTTCTTCGAATTTCTTGAAATCCTCCTCAGTAAATGCGGTCTTTTCGTCTTTCTTTGGCTTAGATTGTGGTGGAACTGGACGTCTTGTTCTACCTCGAGTAAATATCTGGAAAATGTTTTAAATTTACACCCTCAATCAATCAAAAAATAATAAAACAAACATTTTCGATAATTTCCTTGTCTAAATTCACAGTAGATATATTCCGAATTTTCGCTATCTTTTCCAAATTAGATTTTAATATCTCTCCTTTGCTTTTTATTTTCTTCCGTGCTTCAACTATTGTTAATTTCTTTGTTGATTGTAAAACATCTACCTTTTTAGCTGCAAAATAATCATTTACAATATATAATGATAATAAAGTAGAATTAATATAAACATACTTTTATTCGTTCTAGGAGTACGAACTTTTTTAATAATCCTTTTATTTTCGGGCACAAAATCGAAAACCTTCTTCTGCTTCTTTAGGTTATGTTCTAAAAAAAAAAAAAATATTGTTAAAATTGTTAGAAACGATTAACACTAAAATTTACTTTGATTTTCTGCGAATGTTTCGTCGACTAATGCAAGACTTTTACGTACTAATGCAGCAGACATTCTCTTAAATTATTGTTATACTCAAAAAGAGACATGTGAGAAATATAAACATAACCTACAAAAATTTTTAAATGTCATATTGACATTTGTATTAATATACAGTGCTCGGCAAAATTATGAAACATATTCAATAAAAGTAAGTTATTTTGTTAAAATGACAAGACACATCAATTTTGTTTAATCATACAATAACATTATAATTATACAGAGTAGTGATGTGAAATATCTACTTACTCGTTACTTATCAGTGAACCGTAACGAAACTAAACTATAGAGTATAGAGAACAACAAAAGTATGAAATTGTACTTTTTAATTTCTGCCGCTACAATAACACGATTCCCAATAAATTGCATAATTCCATCGTGATCCTACTCCATAAGAAGAATGATATAGTTGGACTAGCGAATTATTGGCCAATAAGCCAAGTCATCTGTAAAAACTCTTCAAGTAATTATAACCAGTCGATTAGAAAATAAAATTGATTTATATCAGCCAATAGAATAGGCGGGGTTTCGCCGAAGATTTGGAACAAATGACCACCTCCAAGGTATCAAAACATTCATCGAGAAGACAATAAAGTATAACAGATCGTTGGTTTTGGCGTTCGTCGATTTTCACAAGGCTTTTGATAAAATTGAGTTGATATTAGTTCAAGAATTACAGGAAGTGTGTGGAAGATTTGGGCTAGATATCAACATGGGGATAACAAAGTTTATAACATATCTTGTTTCCAATTCTAACATTGTGATTAGATGTGATAACATTGGTGATAATACTAAGGTTGAGAAGATTGATAGCTATGTATATCTTGGCTGTGACGTTCGTGTATCAAGAGATAATCAAAACGCAAACTAAACAGAAGGCTAATTCTCACAAGGGCAGCTTACGAGAATCTTAGAGATATTTTCAAGAGTTCCCATACATTTAAAAAGAAAGGCTTTCAATCAGTGCGAGTTGCTGGTTACAACATACGGCTCTGAAACTTTAACATTAATAGTTTCCACTGCCAGGAAGCTCAAAGTAATGCAAAGGAAGACATACGAAATAAAGGCCTACGAAGAAGAACTGGCGCAAATGATATAGACAACGTTGTAACAAAACTCAAATCGACCTGGGCGGGCCATATCTCGCGAATGAAGAATAAGCAATGGACAAAAGGTTACTCCAATGGAGATCGCGAGCGGATGGACGAAATAGAATAGGGAAGGCCTATATCCAACAATGGATGCAAAAGGCTGCTTCATGATGATGATGAACTGTAACCACCGATTATTGCTAATAAAATGTATTCGTTACTCGTGTACCAATTACTACCCACAAAGTATTAGTTACTGGTTTTGTAACAACAGTTTCTTAAACAGTTACTTAGAAACAGAAATCAGTACTTTAAGATAGAATTATCCCACAAAGAAATAGCTGGACTATTATAGATTGCAATACGGGTGAAACGAATGATTACAACTAGCAACAAATACGATTAACAAATACAAATAACACATCCCAATTTCTAACTTTCTATCTTGTTGGCTAAGAAATGCGGACGGACTCAATATCTTCGTAATTGCTAAAAATATCTACATATTTTAGTCTGGAGAATCGGAATTGTATTATAACGCATTAATTGGCGGTATCACTATCAGTGATTAATGCTCGATACCAGATTGTACTGCCTGAGCGGCAGTCCTGGATCGAAAATGAAAATTCTCTGGTTCGGGCAGACATTTGCTTGTACACAGATGGATCAAAAACGCCTGAAGGGGTAGGAGCAGGAGTATACTGCCAGACACCTCGAATTAAGCAAGTCTACAGCCTGGGTACGTACTGTACTGTATTCCAGGCGGAAGTATTTGCTATTGACATGGGTGCTAAAATCCTTCTTGAAAGAGGGGTGAAGAACATGACAGTACGAATTTTCTCAGACAGTCAAGCCGCTCTCCAGGCGCGGCAAGCCGTGAAAACGGTGTCGGCTCTGGTTAATGATTGTAAGAGAACATTAAACACACTGAGTTGTGATAACAGAGTCTCTCTGATCTGGGTCCCGGGTCACTCTGGGGTTGCTGGCAATGAAGCGGCAGATAAGCTAGCACGAGATGGCAGCGCTGAAGCGTTTGTGGGGCCGGAACCAGCAGTTGGTGTACCATTTGCGATGGCCAAATATAGGATTGGACTGTGGGCTGAAGAGAGACTTCGCCTACTGTGGACCAGTTCTCCTGGAATGAGACATGCTAAGGTGTTTATTAACATCGCCACTGTCAAACCCGGGAATATTTTAGGACTTGCCCGTAGTAGCATAAAAGTTCTAATGGGTGTTTTTACTGGGCACTGCCGATTAAAAGCACACCTCAACTTGTTGGGTTTAGCCGATGATGTTGAATGCCGACTATGTGCGGAGGAAGCTGAGACGGTTGAGCATGTTTTATGCCACTGCCCTGCCGTTAACCGTATCAGATTCTCGATTTTTGGGTCGCAGTTTATCTCCTCAAAAGATCTGAATGACCTTTCGCCGAGCAAGGTATTAATGTTCGTTAAGAGCATTGGACTGCACGGCGAAATTTGATAACGATATCTATCGGGGTACAATAGATCCTTAGGGTCGCGGTGCAAGGTTGGTTGGTCCGCCTACCCGATATGTATTCTATGTAATGTAATGTAATGGGGTCATTTTCAGCAAAGAAACATGGGCGCGATCTTTGAAACATAGAATGTTTTGACGTTCAACAAACTGAATGCTCAAACATCCCTGCTCAGAGAACTGAATAAATATAACATAGCATTAACAGCAACATAGGAGACAAAATGACTGGGAAAAGGAATCCGAGATACAAAAACGCACTCAACTGCTTATAGCGGAAAAGACAGTGGCAACAAAGAGTGCAGAATTTGGATGGATGCGAAAGAGAGCTAACGAACAGAGTCTCAGACGTCGGAGACCGAAGTATTAGAAACGATAAGGCGAACGATAGAAAATAAGAAGAAAAAGGAAAGAGGAGAGGGTTCAACGAAGAATGCAAAGAAGTCATAGGAGAAAGGAACGAAACACAGAAACTAAGTGGAAAGGAGAAGGAAAGAAAGAAGAATAACCTTTGAAGATATGAAAGATAAAAAAATGGGAAATGATTTCCAAAGTTATCACGGACAACTCTCTGTAAGAATGCCGAAGGATAGATAATAACCGACACACAAGTGATAAAGCGACCTGGAAAATACACTTTCAAACTTTGCTTGGTACACAAGAGGAGGAAGAAGAGAGTCAAGGTCTAAGAATGACGCCCCGAGAGGAACAAGAGGAAGAGGTAGAAACACCAAGAAGTCTCTAAGACCTCCAACACTAGGAGAGGTTAAACAAGCTATCAAGGCACAAAGAAAGAACAAGATGCTCGGTATTGATAACCTTCCCCCAGGACTTTCTTACAATCTTATTCTCCAAAGTATGAAAAGAAGAAAGCATCCAAACTAGTTGGAAAACAGTATTATCTACAGCCTACAAAATCATCACCCATATACTTAACAAGCACTTGCAACAATTACAGAAAACTGAATCGGCGAATATTAAGCTGGTTTTAGAAAAGGACGCTACATAATCGATCAGCTTTTCTCAGTGAAACAAATTATGAGCAAGGCCTAGGAGCAGGACCTATCAATACCAAACGACTCTGCCAGGTACTACACAGCTTCCTTCTAAACATATCTGGTTAATAAGGGTTCCAATGGACTCAACAATGGCGACAGTTCGAATAGAAAATAACCTGACCAATGTATTTGATATAAATAAAGGGCTAAAACAAGGAGACGGGCTGGCTTGTGTAACTAATAAATATATCCATAATAGCAGTCTATCCCGACTATATTAACATTATATTTTGCTGGACGAGCAACGCAACAGATACGTACACGCAACAAGAGAAGATAAGAACATCGGAACAACTAACAAGAACAAGAAGGAATGTTGAAACCATCATAGACGAGGAAAGTGTTGAAAAGTGGGGTCCTTTAGGCACCAGAGAGTCATAAGTTTGACAGAGGGATTGGAGGAACCAGAAATACAAAATAGAATAATGACTGCGAACAGAACTTATTTTGCTCTATCAAATGTATTCTGCTCCAAAACTGTACATATGCACATGATGATGACAGAGAGCGCAAAGAATAAGCTGAAACTATTTAAATGAAAAATATTGAGGAAAGTCTTTGGTCTAATACAGGAGGATGGAATATGGAGAAGGTGATGCAACATCTCAGCATTCGTAAGGTTGTAAAGACTGTAATTGGTCATATGGCACGAATGAGCGAAGATAGGATGTTAAAAAGGCTCTTAAGCAGCAAGAGACCAAGAGGGAGGCCACGAAAACGGTGAGAGGACGAAGTGATGCAGCACTCTTGAGCGTCAGAACCTGAAAAAGAGTAGCTCTTGATCGGTATTTGGATTGTAGTGCCATCGGAAAGAAAAAATGGGGTTTGGTGATTATTTTGTACATAATAACACGACAAATATGGATTTAAAACAAACTTATTTAATTGATTGACTAATTTCATTCATTACAAAAATAACACAATTTACAAAATTTTACAATTCCTCTTTTTGATTGTTTCTTAAAGAATATTCTTCTATAAGTATAGAGGCAGCTTTTTCGCCCACTACATAAGCAGGAACATTCGTATGACCGGTTATTTGAACAGGGATAACACTTGCATCGGCAACTCTTAATCCATCAACACCATAAACTCTTAATCTATGATCAACAACTGCTTCAGGATCATTTTTAGGTCCCATTTTGCATGTAGTCGTTTGATGGTAAGTCGTCGTAGATAAATGTCTTATAGCACATTCCCAATATTCATCAGAACCGAATTTAAATTGTTCACATCCAGGAATTGGGATCTCAATTGGTTTAACTCCGTGTTTTTGGAAAGGTTCCGCCGAAAATATTTTTAATGTTTCTCGAATTCCTGCTGTTAAAACTTTTATGTCTTTGTTGTTAGGATCGGAAAAATATCCGGCGTAAAGTTTTGGATGTTCAAATGGATTTGATGATTTTAATTCCATTCGGCCATAAGATTCTGGATGAAGAAGAAGAATTAAAGTACTAAAAATGTGTTGGTCACGATAAGGGCGGAATATTTTGTCGTATATTTTTTCTGAAAGACCAAGTGAACGACCTAAACCAAAATCTTCGTAGGATCCAACATGCGTTGACCAATAAATAATTTCTATATCAGAAAGGTTTTTCGTTTCTGCCAATTCAGTATTTGCGAAAACAACGGCTTCTATTCCTCCTAAGTTATGAAGAGGACTTTCGCCGTTTTTGTATAAATTAACATAATTTTTATCATCAAACATAACTTTTGCATCTAAATTTAATGGGCTTTCACTGTAGAACCCTAAACCAAAAAATGATTGATGGTCATAAATTTTTTGCCCTACGGGAAGATCATGAATAACTTTGATGTTAAGGTTTTCTAATTGTTTTTTTGGCCCTATTCCTGATAACATTAAAGTTTGAGCTGAGTTAATAGATCCGCTGCTTAAAATAATTTCTTTTCTAGCATAAGCTTTATATTTTTTATCGTTTTTAACGAATTCAATTCCCTCAGCACGTCCAGCTTTACCAATTAAAACTTTAGTAACATGACTGTTTATTCTAATTGTTAAATTATTTCTTTCTTTACATTTTCTTAAAAAACAACGTTCTCCAGAACATCTTAAACCATTAATTGTGGTTGATTGCATGTAAGAAACCCCAACATGTTCTTTTCCATTAAAATCTAAGTATTTATAACCCAGTGATTTTGCGGCTTCTATAAATATATCGGCAGCTTTGCTTCGTCCGTAAGAATCTTCAACGTGAAGTTCTCCGTTGTGTCCTCTATAATCGTAATCTTGATGTTTTATTTTACAATTTTCGAGATTTTTTAAATGAGGAAGAACGTCTTCGTATGACCAACCAGGATTTCCTAAAGATGCCCAATTATCGTAATCTTGAGGAGCACCTCTTGAAAAACACATATAATTTAAAAGAGATGACCCACCCAGACCTTTGCCCCTAGGCCAGTGTACTTGCTGATTTCGAAGACCTTAATTTAAAAAAATGTCAAAATAAAAGATTAGATAACTTGAGATTGTTTTAAGTACCTAAAGCAAAATTTTCTCCTTTTTCGGTGTTATAACCCCAATTTTGATCGCTAAAAAGGGCAAGGGCCGCTAATAATGGTACATCGGTGGTTAAACCTGGTTCACCACCAGCTTCTAAAAGTAAAATTTTCCATTTTTTTATTTCTGAAAGTCGATTTACTAATGCTGACCCAGCGGACCCAGCGCCAACAATTATAAAATCATATTCCTCTATAATTAAATAAATAAAATAAATCGATCTTGATACACATTTTTTGATATATTTATTAATATTTTTTATTTACCTTCATCTTGTTATTTTGGTTCAGTATAATTTGGAAAATCTCGTTGAATTTGTCCACTATCAATTAAACCTTGAATTTTTTTAGTTAATAATTCTGGTGTATCTATTGCGCTTGATAAAACAATTAGTCCAAGTACGAGAAAACTCAAGTAGTTATTCATTTTAAAGATGTTAAAAATACGAAGTTGCTCGTCAGAAAAATTTTAAGATACTGAAGTAAATTACTTAAAAAGGAACTGTAAATATGTTGTTGACTTTCTATCAGAAGTGAACTCTGGTCACGATCCTTATTATACCGACAACAAGTTTAAAAGAATATCAATTAAAGTATATAAATATAAAATAATTACTGTTGGTAGATTGTAAAAATAGATACTTTCCTTTTTATAAAAACAGTGAAATGTTTTGTGATTTGTGACCTTTGGCCTGAATTTAAAAAGATCTTGAATGAATGAAAATTGTTTACTTTATATCAGGTGGATATCTCGCATGAGTAATGTTTATAACAATCAAATCGGATTCAATGCCATCTTTCGATGTCTCAAACGTATAGATCCAACAAAATCTCAAGGTCAATTTTTTTACACAGTTATAATACTTTCATTTTATATACTTCGTACAAACGAGAAAGTATAAATGTGTTATGTGTGTTAAGACCCAAAACGTTTTCACCACTCAACTCAAACGAAAATAAGTCCACAATTATTATTAAATGCTCCACTTTTAAAACTGAGAAATGTTGTTATTGTCGTGACTTGAGCCACGTCATCACTTTCCTCAATGTGCAAAAAGTTATTTCAACAAGTCATTAGCGGAAATCCCATAAATGTAATTATTGCCTTAGGTACTGTTGAAAAAAAATCTTTCTTCAAAGCCTCATGAAATGTTAATTCTGTTGTAAATTACTCTATCCAATATTGTAGCCATGTCATCTCATTCGCAAAGGTGAAGTATAGAATGAAATTACTGAATTCGTGGATGTTAATAACTTCAAGTGCAGCAAGCTTAAAACAACGCACAGTCCACGTATTATTGTGAAAGAATCTGTCCATTTTTTACTCCTACCCTTGCTTCATAGCAGAGTCTATTTCTATCTGTTGCATCATACGTATATACATGATGCAGCTAAATAGAAAATCGCACGATGTGAACATTGTAAGATGAAGGGAAACGCTACGGGAACGGAGTGTGGTGTTAACATAAATACTCAGACACACTCAACAACAGCAAGTCATCATGGAGGATGATATTGAAAACGCTGAACGGTTGTAATATTTAGGGGGCGTATTATACAGAAATGGAACGGAAGATATAGAAACAAACAACAGAATTTCACAAACAGATGAAGCATACTACACAAGAGCCCATGTATTCAAATCACTTTTTTAAAGATGTCTATCTCTGGAATTTATCAGATTACAAAGACACACAATGCACCACTGCAGGGAAGGAGATCTGCAGAAAACCCACGGAAACGCTGGGAAGACGTAGAAGGGAGGCCATGACCCGACTTGGACTGTGGAGCCCTATGTTATAATTTTTGAACCGGGTTATTATTGAGGACATAGTATTCCACCGAAGAATCTCTTTATAAGATGGAAATGAAATTGCAAAAGAAATAGGTATTGCATAGTTTGTGGCGGCTAATAGAAAAGGTAAGTAAATATAGAAAGGAGACTATATAAATTCTTAATATTAGTAAGCGTGCGTGAACTTACCTGAATAATTGAAAGAAAGTTTTTCCCATCCATCTACTAACTAGATCCATAGTTCCTAAGTATACTTTCAGAACTTATTTCCGGATTTATTCTTGGCTTTAAAGCCAAAAAGTAATTGCGAGATAGCGCAAGGGCAAAGTAAATTATGGAAACATCAATCAAGACGGTGGCGAAGAAATTAAAAATTTCCTTTTTGACGCCTGAGATTTCGGTTATAATTGAAATCTTCATTATAGAGATGCTATAGAGGTTTGAGATCACAACCTCATCTTAGGGTTACCACACAACGTGTACTATTTACAATAGAAATTGGAATTATACTATATAAGACTCGTAACACAGCCAAGAGGTTCAGAATATTAATCCTCACAGCAGCTCGGGAAATCGGCACGGCATTTTGTTGTAGAACCAAAAGTAGTGGAGGCCCTTTGAATAACGTGAAGAAGATATTCTGTTCCCAAGTAATGAAAATACAGTTTATTTTTTTCCAATAATACCTGCCAAATTGTTCTAAAATGTAAAAGCTACTGGCAACGTTCATTCATAAAAACTTTGGATTTCAAAAGATATTGGAATTGAACATTGCGGTTTAGACATACTTGGAGGCAGTACGATTTTGATCTCATTAACTTGAATCAAAAACATTTTTTTAAGAACTTAAACGGCGATAACACGGTTTTGAATACGCAAACAATCGATAGTTATAATACTTTTCATATGCTGGGAGGGGTTTACACTGTAGCTGCTTCTGATATTATTGGGAAATTTGGACAAACAAATATCAAACGATATATGTTAATGAAAGCAGTGTAGATCTCAAATCAATAAAGATTCTATACCTCTTCGATCCTTTCCCCCCAACCTCCTAGAAGTTGTACAGCCAAAATATAGTTTACCGCAACACCGAGATGAAATATGTTTCTGGAAAACAGAAAAAAAGTATGTTCCCTTTAAAAATGCCACACCTAATGATTGAGGCCGATGACTGTGAGATATGGACTAACTCGACTAACCCCTGTACATCATTGCTAATTGATCAAAATCCGTCCAGTACATGGAATTTTCTCCGAGCTAAGAAACGTACCACAAGAATACCCAACAAGAATACAAGAAGAATATATTTGCTTGCCCTTTTAAATTTATTATTAACTTACGTCCTGTGAATTTCCTGAACGATGGAAACGATCAAAAATTGATCGTTTCCCTGATGATCGTACGTCCCTCTCAAACTACAGACCAATTTCGATAATTTCCAAGTTTGCTACGTAACGCCCCTTAGTGTCAGCTTCCCAGCATGGGTTTGTTTCCGGTCGCTCTACAATTACCCACTTGGCTACGATTTCCGAGTTTATTTGTAGCACCTTGAATAGACGTGGGCAAATGGATGTTGTATACACTGATCTATCCAAAGCCTTTGATCTGATTGACCATAGCATTCTCTTGCATAAATTGAGCTCTTTCGGATTTGTCCCTTCAGCAATTCAACTTCTGGCTCCTTATTTGCAACATAGAAAATGTTATGTTGCTTACAATGGATATTTTTCTAATGAGTTCACTCTTACCTCAAGGGTTCCACAGTGATCAAATTTGGGCCTTCTATTATTTGTTCTTTTCATAAATGACTTACTTCTAAAAATTGATTGTCGGATTTTGGGGTATGCTGATGATATCAAGATCTTTGCAAAAACTTAAACAGAATGTGCAATGGTGTAAGACCTACAAACTTAACCTTAATATATATAAATGTTATAGTATAAATTTATGTTATGGCCTTTAGGTCCTTAGGTTTTGTGATGCGTATGTCGAAATATTTCACAAGTGACAGCTTATTAAAGACCTTGTATTGTGCATACGTTCACACGTTTATGCGTGTGAGTTCTTAAGCCTTGATCGAGTCCATCATAGATTCTTCAAATTTCTTTCTTACAAATCTGATGGAATTTACCCTGTGCGAGGTATACCACAAAATGATTTGCTTGCGCAACACAACATGGTTTCCTTGACGGACAGAAAAAACGCGTTTTATGAAAAGTTTCCACAAAAGCTTATCGAATATAACATCGACTGCCCTTTCATTCTTGAGCGACTAGGGTTTGTTGTTCCAAGGAGTAAGATATAGCTGCGTATTCGTCATTCCTTATGCCAGGATAAACATTATGAGGCGGGCGCCAACATACAGTCTCTATGTCTCTATAAAGTGGGCAACAGGATTCCAGACAGTCAGTGATCACCTGCATGTAAATTCACTTATTTTGTTTTTATTTTTATTTTCTTTATAATTTGGTCAATTGTTAATTTCTTGAATTTTTGTAATTTTTGTTTTTTTTTTTCATATACAGATACATATACAAAGTGAGAGCTTATATTTTAGCCCATGCAGCACCACTGAAGACTCATGCAATCGACGACAATCTTCCCAACACAAATGATCAATTTTGAAACTTATAAGCTTATTCTAAATACGCGAATGTGGACCGATGCAATCATTAATGTTTTTTTAATCTTTTCTTTCTCAAAAAAACTGATAAATTTTCAGGTAGCTCTGATATTGCTGATGATGAGAGAATTAACTATCGCCAGATTTAAGGTGTGCACATCCAGGGTAACAAAAGAGTTGTTGACGATATTTTGGAAACATCAAATTAAAGGTATTTGAGGTGATGACTTGATTTCTACAACATTAGTAACCATTCAAAGGAAGCACAGAAAGAGTTTTTAACATATGCTGGCTCTTAAATCCTTGTTGTTATTTGAAACGGTTTCAAGAAGACACCAAATCCACAGATAAGCGTTCCAATCTCTAATAATGCAATATAGCGGACACGTTCAATACGTTATCTTTAAGTACAATAATACAATATAGACCCCAAACAATAGGTGTATTTGAAGCTATACCAATTATGTATAGAGCGGTATAAAAAGTAGTGAACGTATGAAAAGACCTAGAATATCTACATCAGCCAATATTTTGTATGATGATAAGATGATACTAACCACGTTTAAAAGGAACTTCTTTTTTTGGAATACCAACAACACGAAAGCGTTAATATGGTTGTTGAATAAGATGTTCTTATTACACTTAATGTAATAAGTCTATGATAATAGTTGGATAGCATGTTGAGTTGATGGTCACTTTTATATGCAAAGGAAATTAAATATATAAATGTTTCTAAAACCAATACTTTATGTTTGTTATGAAAGTATTCAAGAACTCAAAGGTATTCATGAAATGATCGCGAAAGCTGGAAAACATTTCCTGGTCTTATAATTACCACGCCATCTCTGAATCATTCAAGATTCGTCTCCCACAAATAAGCGGCCCTCAGTGCAACCTCCAATATGGTTTCAAAGTGTTAATATTTATATAACAAATTGTGGGTGGAAAAAGGCAGGACTTCGCTCCTTGCATTTTTTATGGAACTGGAGTTAGATTTCACCATAAATGGACTACTGCTTGTCTTAATTTTTTTTTTACAGTCTTTTTACTTATCTTATCTGCTTTACTGCGTCAAAATCTGTATGCAAAAAGAATAGTGCTAAATGTATTATACCAAAATCTGAATTATGCTTCACTCAGCAAAATCTTTAAGATCTTTGTTATGCACAGTGAAATTTGATACTAATCAAGCTACATTAGATTTCACCTAACTTCGTATAGCTTTACAAGCTTAAGAACAAACTTAGTGATTTATCCTTAAATACAGGGTGATTCTCAACCTATACGCATAATCTTGGGGATTTATTCCTCATGACAAATAATGAGTAATAGGTGAAGGAAATTGTAGCAAACGTTTTTTAGTTTCCTAGATATCCAGGAAAATTTACTTTCAAATCAAGAATACATATAAGATTTTAAAATAACATCAAAGCAAGTGTTCCAAGTTGTTTCCAATATTTTCCATACACAATTGGGCTGGCTGAATCGATGATGTCCCACTAGCGCGGTCTAAACCAGGGTGTTGGCGGATTGTCTCAGCAGCAGTTTGTATCTGATTTCGCAATCCTTGCTCAGTTTGAACTTCCTCAGTATTCACTTCTTCAGCTGCAATGTTAAATGCCTGTGTTTAACACTGTATGCCATCATCAAGAGGACGACATCATCTGCATAGCACTCAATCTTGATTTTCTAATCATTCATAGTGTAACCATAGTTTACATTACATACTTTGTTGTGTTTGCCCTGTTCTAATTCCTTTATCCTTACTTTGTCGAACGTTTTGGTTAGATAAATGAAACAGAGCAAGGCTGCCTGACGTTTTTTCGCCGGAGTTCTATCTGATTCATCTCGTTATTAAATTTCGCCATAAATCATTTGTGTAGGCAACTCTTGCAATCAGAAGGACGTGAGCAAACGACACACTGAAATGTATGTAAACTTTTTTTGCAGAAGATGAAATAAGTATGGTGATATCAGTTCTAAACAGATGAGATAGTTTGGTGTTGCTGTGTAAGATGGTTTTTAGAAGCAAAAATTGTACCCTTTGGAGATGATATGATAGCGCGGCCTAAACCTAAGGGTGTTGGCGGATTGTCTCAGTAGCAGTTTGTATCTGATTTCGGAATTCTTGCTCAGTAGTAACTTCAGTGACTTACACTAAACTCTTTAAGTAACCCCAAAAATAAAAATCAAGAGGATTGAGGTTGGGCGATCGAGATGGCGAAGCCAATGGACTACCTCGACCTGACCATCTTCTGGGAAGCACCTTATCTAGATGTCGCCGCATATATCGGACATCTATGAAACTAAAAAACTTTTACAATTTTTGTGACCTATTACTCATTATTTGTCTCGAGGAATAAATCTCGAAGTTTATGCGTATAGGTTGAGAATCATCCTGTATAATTAAGACATTACTTGCGGTTAATAAACTCTAATATTTGTTTTACGACATGTCTTGGATAAGCTATGTCGTTGAACTTAGCATTTTTCCAACAGAAAGTTCATTTACATTAAGTAAGTCAAACAATTAAAAAGAAAGTAAATATCATTTAGAAAGATCAATAAAAAACGTGGATGTCAAATAATTTCCTGAATTAAATTATTTAAGGAAACGAAATTATTTAGATAAAAATGTTTATTAGTTGAAGTATCTGATATAATTCTTGAAGTTTGTTAAGATGAATCTCCATAAATAGTTCTTCTGAAAAGTAAAAATGTACGATTTTTTCTTGATAACACAAGATTGGTTAAATCACTTAAAATTCTAGCATGTTATGAATTGTAATATATTATTATATATATTATTGAAATTAATGATTTAAAATTTGATTATTGGATAAGGTAAAATAAATAAAACACCAAAAATTTGTTTTCTGTACATTTTCAATAATAGATATTCTTCATTCATTTTATTAATAATTCATTATTTTATTATTATAATTCTCTTGAGTGTGCACACAAAGATGCTTACCGGGAACGATAACTATTAACTAACGCAAGACCTGCTTGACATCAATAAATAGCATCTAAACGATGGCGTACTTTTTTTCATATACAAGTACTATTTTTAATGTTACTACTTTAGCTACAAATACAAAAAATACATTCAAGGGAAAGAGATACAAGAGAAAAAGAAAAAATAATAACAACAAAGAAAAAAAAATTAAATCACGTTTAAAGTAGTAAATTTTCTATATCTAATCTACAAAAAACGTTGTTTTTTAAAATAAATATTTATATGTTATTAAAAAACATTTTTTATGACAGTTAAATAGGTAGATAAAGAAATTGTGCACAGCACATACCAACGCTTGTAAAACGCACTACAATTCATCATATATTTATGTTTTGTGTATGTATTTTTTTTGGGAAAATTATTATTATAATCTTTTATATTGTATAATAATACGATTACGTTTTCAAGCAGATTTTATCTTATAAATGAAATTGAGTACATTGCTTAACCCTTATTAATTTATTATTGGACTTTTCTTGTAAAATAAAAATGACTACACGCGTCCATATTTTTTTTTGTGTGCGTAAAAGGCAACTTTCGACAAAATACGTACTTGATTTTTTAGTTATTATATTATTATACTTATTTATTGCAAACTGTATACCATGTAAAAAAAGTTATACATTATTTTTTTTCTTTATTACATATTAATAAACTTTTCTTCTTGTCATCGCATGGATAAAAACGCATATTATCTCATTTTCAAAGATGGATTTGTAAATCAGTCTTAAAACGATTTCATTAAGAAGAAGGATGTTTAAAAGTATTTTGAAGGATATTGAAGGCGTTCGACTAGGTAAATCCAATTTTAGTGCATATTTGTTAATAAAAAAAATGGAAATTTTTAGGATAGGGTAATTTAAAAAAATAAGATACACTTTTAAACGGTAATTAAGAATAATCTTTGATTACTTTTTCAATGTGATATCAAAAAAAAATTAAAATTATAGTTTCATTTTTAATGCATACGAAATTTTAGATACAGGAGTGAGTCAAAATGTCTTCTTATAGATATTAAACTTATTTTTAGCCTTTAGTGACTGAGCGTGGGGGAGGGCTAAAACTATTCTCTTTTTAATTGTGGTAAATACTTCGCGTTCTTTGTTTACTCGATGTTTATATTCATACCCATTGATCTGCTACTTTTTCCCACTATATCATTATCCATTGTAATCGACGTATCGAATGTTGTCAATCCAAACCTCATTAACTTTAACACCAATCTCAGTATCATCAATTGCGTCTCGAAATACTGTGCCTGAGTAAAGATTAAACAGGAGCGGCGACAGGATGCATCCCTGGCGTACTCCTCTTCTGATCGGAATGTTGTTGAAAAGATTATTGTCGAATTTTGTCCGAAAATTTTCGAATTCACATGTATTACGCAGAAATGATCAATGATTACATCAGACTTTTTAATTTCGCAGCTACAAGAAAGGTAATCAAAGTCCAAACATTACAAAATAAGTGAAAGTATTTGTTTGATGATCACTGCTGTACAAAATAACATTGGAGAAGAAGTAGTGAAGAAGGACCCTGGAATCGTATTATGGCGGAAAATGAAATAGTAGATGACATGATTATGGTAGAAAAGGAGTTTGAAAGCGGAGATAGTGAGAAAGATGAAACAACAAGTCCAAACATAAAATTATCATCGATCAGATATTCGAACATGCCTTATCATAGAAAAAAAACGTATTCAAGAATATATTTTTATATGACGCAGACACCTACTCTGTATTAGTGCATTATATTGAGGCTTTATTGTCTTAATTTCTTTATAGAGATAACAGTATCAAAACAAAAACTGCATGTTTGTAGGTCTTTGTGATAATTTGATTTAGTTAAGTACACCTATTTAATGATTAACCATACTTTGACAAATAGGGGCGGCTGATAATCTGGAAAGACCACCATATGCGCAAAGAAACTAAAAGAAGACTTTTGAAATCTTTAGTGTTTCGTATTGCAACATATGCCTCAGAATCCTGGACCATAAATGCTGCTTCCGAAAGAAGATTGAGGCTTTTGAAATGATATGTTATTAAAGAATATTGAAAATACCTTGGATTGCGTATCGCATGGAAAAATTTATGATATGGAAAGTTGATGGTAAAAGGTCAAGAGGCAGTTCACCGGTAAGTTATAGAGACTAAGTAAAGGATTTGGCACAGATGTCAGTTTCCCAAATGATGTATTTTATAGAAGACAGAAAGGCATTGCGTAGGGTCACCACACAACTTCCACGAACGAGTCAAGACGTTCGAAATCGAACAACGACTAAAGAGAGATTTTTATGGATCAAATAAGTTTATTTAATTTACTTGTAAATTGGAGTGAAAGAAAAAAATTTCATTATTGCCAACCAGATGATGCAGTTAAGTTGGATGAAGACAAGTATGCAGGATCCTTGGTACATATCGACACATATTTCTTAAAGTAAAACATGACCTCTTGCGTAAGATAGGTACGCGTACCACAAAACAGTGAAAGGAATACCCGAAGGGGAGCTACACGTAATAGAAAATACCAATTCAATTTCTAATGGTAAACATGGATCACTTAAAGCAATAATATGTTAATAGTGCAAGTAGACATGATTATATTTTGATGTGCTAGGACAACATCACAAAGAACAAAGATTTTGCCAGCAGTAAAATCGACAAAAACCAAAAATGTCGTGAATACCTTGACAGATATCTTTAGTTATTTCGGAACACCGCTTTCAGAACATCGTTTAAGTCGAAGGAATTCGAGAAGTTCTGTGAAGAGAACCAAATCCAACGTATCCGAAATGTTACAGCGAATCCCTTTTGACTGCTTTAACGACAATGTACGAAGACGGTAGAGATTGGGACAAGCGAATACAAGAAATTCAATTTGCTTTAAACGATGCTGAGAAATGCCTTACAATTCAAATAGCATCAGCTGTGAGAATCATTGACGACTTATAAATACAAATAGTATGAGGAATTGGTGAACAACAACAAAAGGATAAGAAGTATTTTGACCAGAAGCACAAACAATGGCAAACATATGATGTTGACGACATTGTACTAGTGAAATACGAGTTAGCGGCAACGTTCGCATATAGTTACGCGAGTTCTCAGAAACGATACATGATAAAAGACATTTCGGAAGCCCGACGAAGTGCTAAACCATTTAACGCAGTTTTCTGATCAAGGTAAATAAACCCGTGGTGTACCCTTACCAAAGAAGACAGCGATGACTCAGATGACGAAGACACTCCGCCAGGTCAGGAAGGCTGAGTTGTTAGCGATTTGCAATAGATGGCACAGCTAGCATTAATCGACAGATATCTCCATTCAATAGATGGCGTGTTAGGAATTGAGATAAAATAAAAGGATAGTCTAGTAAAAACGAATCGACGTATATCTTTAGAACTTTGTCTTCAGTATCAATTTGTCACAAATAACACTTGTTATTTGTAACAGTTATGTTTCATTTTTGACACCTCCCAATTCATTAAAAAGTTGCTGTTTTTGGAATGATTCCTGGTAATTCCTCGCTGCGGATAAACACATTAAAAATATACACTAAAATTTCAACAAACATGTTTCACTTAAACGTGCCTTTTGTGTGCAGAAAATATTCAATATTTTTTACATGTGTAAACGATTCTGCCCAATTACTTCTTAAATAAACGGAAAACATTACGTATTTTTATTGACACTTTTTAATTTAATCCATTTGATTTCACCGACTCTTTGGAATTAAAAAAAATGTTGTTAAAAGTGCATTTAGGGAATTTAAAACTACTTTTGCATCTCCTATTTTTAAAACTTAATATAAGTAGTAAACATTCTTTTTATGCCATCACCCTCAATTTTTCTGTTAGGATAAAATTAAGTAATCGTCTTTAAAGTCATACTTTTATTATTCAAATTATATTTTTGACATTTTTTACTCATCCTGTATGTCGTCATCATTAGTCAATACATTTAATTTATTTTGTTAAGTAGAAAAATTTTGGTAACAAATTGAAAAAGGTTTAGTACATCACGAGATCCGTCCAGCGGTTACAAATATATCAATACACATAACATCTATGCTTTTTGTATTCAATTAATATGTTTACGTACATTACACATTATTTTTATGAGCCTTCATTATAATAATAATTATAATAATTGTCATTTTGATTATATCCACGATCTGAATTTTAATAGAATCGCGTTAATTAGATTAAAGATATTCTACAAAAAGTTTATAAAAAAAGAAAAAAGACTTTAAAAAAGGATTAAGATTTTGAAAAGATTTAAAGTAAAAAGTTATTACCTAAAATTCTAGAAGAATCAGATCAATACTCAACAATTGATAAACCTACAAAATTCTCAACCCTATTTTACAACGAGATATATTTACGCTTTTTCTTTTTTTTTTTTTTCGAATTTTAGTTTTTTTTTAGCTATTAGAATAAACTCCACTTTTCTTTAATAATCAATTAATTAAAATAAATATCACTTAGTAACTACACTTTGGTTTTACATACCGTAAAAGAGAGTCCCCCAAAAAAAGCTTGATAAAACACGTTGAGCTTGTTTGTTCTTAACAAAAACTGCATTTTGAAGCTTGTCCCAAATGGATCGTACACATTTCAGTTAAACCATTGATTTGGCCGACCGATTTCCGTTTTTCTAAGCCCATATTTTGGTTAATATCACCATCACCGTTACGTATCACACTAACAGCTCTCTGTTTACGCAATGTAGCATCCGTTATATTTACTTTATCTCTAGTTAACGAACCGCATGATTGCGCCTTATACAAACGATTATTATTTCTTGTAAAAATTCCAGGAATAGGAATTAATAACTTTTTATGGACGTGAAAATATTTCCCTAAAATTCGCATCTTTTTCGTCGAACTGACATCTTTCTCCACATCTTTTACATTACCATCTTTTCGAGAAACGTGGGTCACTTTATCTTCGTTTTTCTTACTACTACTCGTAAAACCTTGCAGAATTCTCGCCCCCAATCCTTTTACTTTCGGAACGACACTATTTCCTTGAGTTGCGGATAAATTAGTTGAAATTACAACATGAGCGGTGTCTTCTTGTACTTCAGTTATACGATTTAACGATTGACTTTCTCTTAAGCGGGTTTCACCGTTACGTCTACGACTGGCTTTATGTCGACGTCCTAACATATTTTGAGAAGCGCTCGAACAATTTTTCCTACCCCCGCTTGTACCAGAATTCGTCCCGTTCGTTTTTGAAACATCTCGTCCGTTTGATGAATTTGTTTGGGTTACTGTTGGTGCATTTATTTGACTAGCGTGACGGGTCGATGCCGCTCCTGCACCTGGTTCTTGAGAATCACTGCTGTCATCGTGAGAATCTCGCCGACCTACAAATTAATTATGAAAATTATAAGAAAATTTTATTATAAATTTTTATAAAAAAAAATTAAATAAAATATTAACTTTGTCATATTCTTGAGAACGATTAAAGTCTTAATCCTGAAAAAGATAAACGAGAAATGTACTATCACATTGAAAATTAATGGAAACAGTCAATATGATGGAGGGTAGAGTTAAAAATTACGAAGAATGGAACAGAACGAAAAAATATCGGATGGTTTTGACTCTTACAGAAGATGATGATCAAAATAATGGAGTTATTTATAAATCTGAAAAAGAGTCCAAATAGTTGAAATGTAGGGCAAGATAATGAGAAATAAAGTAGTTCTTATCCTGAAGAATTGGAACAGATCTTATTCTTCGAAGTTGACGTCAATGGGATGAAAAGTGAAAAGAATTATGGAATACGATAAAAAGATTCAACAATACTGCGTCCCAGAAAATCAGAAAAATCGAAAATAAAAGGAAAAGTTTGGTAACAATAACACGAGGAACCTTAGAAGCCTGGAGAGAACCTTATGCAGAGACTTACAGGACAACAGAGGAGGAAAAAGGCAACACTTAAGCAAAGTGCCGGGGGAAGACGAATAATACCCGAAATGCTTAAGAAGACAACAGTTACTGCTTGACTAACAAAAATGTACAACCTAACATAGAAGGCACAGAAAATACCTAAAGATTTCAATCATTTTATGCAGAAAAGACTGTACAGGGTGTCCAAATTTCGATGGGTTTGCAGGGTATCTCAGTTAGTATGAAAGATAGAAAGTTGCGGCTTTCGCGAACCTGAGCTAGTTTTTTGTGAAACTTACAATGGCGCAAACCAAATTTTCATAGCCCTCTTCGTTTTTGATATACAGGGAGTGTTTCAAAATTTACGATTTTCAGATACCTCCTGTATCTCGACTATCCGGAAACGTAAAAACGGGTACTAATAGATTTTTTGACGTAGAATCCAATGGTGCATGTAGAATTTTTCTAGTCATCACGGTTTTTGAGTTATAAAGAGTTAAGTATTTTAGAAGTTGAGTATTCAGTATTTGAGTTGTGTTTATAACTCAAAACCCGTGATGACTAGAAAAATTCTACGTGCACCATTGGATTCTACGTGAAAAAATCTATTAGAACCCGTTTTTACTTTTTTCCTAAGTTTCCGGATAGCCGAGGTACAGGAGGTGTCTGAAAATCGTAAATTTCAAATACTTCAAAAACGAGGAGGACTATGAAAATTTGGTTTGCGCCATTGTAAGTTTCACAAAAAAGTAGCTTTCTATCTTTCATAATAACTGAGATACCCTGCAAACCCATTGAAATTTGGACACCTGTACAGGTGGGCCAAATTGGGCACTTTTAAAGGGAAACTCCTATTTCTATAAGAGATAGAGGAAAAATGATATCAGTTTTTTTATAAGAACCTTAATGGCGAAAACCGCATATCGATATCTTTTACGATTTCAGAGATACAGGGTGTTTTTCAAAAAAGTGCATTTTGGAAAAGTCGTCATAACTTTTTTCTTATTGATAAATCTTCCTTTCTTCCTTGTGTGAAAACATTTCCAAAGCAATTTTTTATATAGAATTCGATGGAATAAGTTACCTTTCCCTCAAAGCAATATTTTAGCAGTTATTGACATAAAAATGTTTTTTTTAAATATATTTTAAAATATATATTTGCAAATTCGACGATTGCAAAAAATTTCCTTTCCAAAAATATAGCACACTTGATATTTTGTTCAAGTCTTCTTTGAAATATACAACTTTAAAACTTAATGTGCAGTTTTTGAAAAAGTAGGCTTTGGAAATAAAAGAAAAACGAGATTATATTTATAAGTAGTATCAAGATAGTTGGTTATAATGAATTAAAAAACATAAATTCATAAACAAGAAGCGGATTAAATTAATAAAACTTATTATAAAACAAGAATAAATATATGGCAACAAATAACAACAAAAGTAAACCCCTTTTCTATAGAAAATGTTCAAAATGTCCCCAAAATGGTTTGTGTTATACACAGTTGACATCTTTGTTTAACCCTTTTTGCGGAGTTGATAAGCTCAATGGACCTAAGACTTGCAAAAGCGTTCACAACTGCGGCTTCTAATTGCTGTCGCGAATTTATTGGTTGTTTATAGATAACATCTTTCAATCTTTCCCAAAGGAAAAAATCCATAGGTGTTAGGTCCGGTGACCAAGCAGCCCAACGAATAGAACCTGGATTGCCTAACCAACAATCACCAAAAGCTGCGGTCAATAAATTGGTGACAATAGCAGCGTTGTGAGACCATCATGTTGAAAAAATACATTTCGCAGGTGCGCTAGAGGTAAATCGTAAACAACAGGTTCGATTTGTTGCCTAAATATGTTCCAATATTTTATTTGTGTTATGCACCAGCACTACTCACATAAGCTTCATCTGTCCAAATACAATTTAAAGAAAAATTACGTGCTTCGTCACATTCTTCCAAGAACCATTGGCAAAAATTTATGCGCCGTTCAAAATCTCCTGGTCTGAGGTAATTTGAGACTTTGCTAGTTTTGCATGGCTTAAATCTGAATTTTTTCAAAATCCGCCCAGCTTTGGTTCTTGTAATTCCCGTGGTTACAACACTCTATTGCTGCGTTGATATATGTGGATTATTTTCCATTGCCCCTAAAATTACTACTTCTTCTAATTCCCCGTCTTCATTCGGTGTATAAGTTTTTGATCTTTTCTTTTCGAATTGACCGCTAATTTGTAGATTATATCATAATCTTCTAAAAATATCATTAAAATGTTGCCGCCTCTCTGGATATCGTTCATGATATAAATTTCCTGCAGCCTCTGCATTCTCCCCAGATTGTATAAAACAAACTATCATGTCCCATTTTTCATAATTTTTATATGACATTATTTTGAAGTTGATGACAACTAAGTAATACTCTAACGATAAGCATTAACACTTACACCTTGAATCAAAATTTGACAGATAGATACTCATAAACAATGCATTTGTTTTATCGAAGCGCCGTCAAAGCCCACTAGCCTAGTCGTAATTAAAAATCTTAAAAGTTTCCAAGTTGTATATTTCAAAGAAGACTTGAACGAGATATCAAATGTGCTATATTTTTGGAAAGGAAATTTTATGCTCTCGTCGAATTTGCAAAAATATATAAGATGTTCCATTTAAAAAAATCATTTTTATGTCAATAACTACTACATCAAAAGTTGCTTTGGAAATATTTTCACAGAAAGGAGGATTTATCAATAAGGAAAAAGTTATGACGACTTTTCGAAAATGCACTCTTTTGAAAAACAGCATGTATCTCTGAAACCGTAAGAGATATCGATATACGGTTTTCGCCATTAAGTTTCTTATAAAAATCGAGCCTCAGACAGTGATATCCTTTTTCCTCTACCTTTTATAGCAAGAGGAGTTTCCTTTTAAAAGTATCCAATTTGGCCCAACATGTACAGCAGTTTTATAATAAAAGAATTTAGTCACATTATTTAATGATACCTCACTTCTTGTAATAATACCTCAATGATTTTCAGTAAATTCAATATTCCTAACAAGTATATTTCGACGCTCCCAACGAAGACTGTACTAACTCAAATTTTGAACTTTGGAGATAAATCAAGTAAAACTAAAAACCAAAAATAAAAAAAATAAAAAAAAAAAAACAAAAATAATAACCAAAAATTTGAGTTAGTACAGTCTTCGTTGGAAGCGTCGATTTGCTCACATTTTAATCAATAAATTGATGATCTCATTATTATTTTATAAAAGCTCAAGCATATTCGAGATTCTGAGAATTTCTCGAACCTTCTTTACTCTTTTAATAGCTTGATCATTATAAACCACGTTCAATTTATTTTCTTAAACGGTAAAATTATGGATTGAATTAATTTAAAGATCGAAACATTGTAAGTAAAATCTACAAACTGTCCTATTATATCACGAAAAGTCCATTAAAACCCATACGAACCTTTTAAGATGATTTACAACGGTAATAAATATTAAAAAAACTTTTCTAGCACCACATGTTTGTTATTTCATTGCAAGCTATAGTTTATAGCTAAATCATAAAATAAAACTACAAGGCCGAACTTAGATCATCAACTTTATACTATAAGATATAAATAAGACAACCTTGCCCCAAACCATTAAACGGGATTACTCTAAGGTCCCGATGAGTCATATTTTTTTCGCGAAGGTAAGTGGATTTTAACCTCATAAAATTTCATTCATACAATTAATTTTTTAATCTTACCTTGTATTGGTTTGCTACTTGGCGGTGTTGTATTCAATTTATGAGCCCTTTTCTTTCTATTTTCGCTATCATCATCGCTGGCATCGGATGAACTACAAGAAGCTGTCCTATTCTTATGAAATTTCGACCTTCTCTGTTCGTACGAAGTTCTATGCTGATGATTTCTGCTCACCAAATGTCTTCCAGTACGCGATGTTAACGATTCTGAGTCACCTTCTTCAAAAATTTCATTTAAAGCACCTCCTGAATTTCCTCTTGTCGGAGAAGGCATCGTTTTATATTTTGGTGTAGTACAAACAGCTGGACTATGTGTAATAATAGGAATTGTTATAGTTGAAGATTCCGTTATAATTTTCGTGGTTGGTTCTTTATGAATGTTTGTTGAATGTGCGTGTTTGGTTTTATGGTGATTGTTATTTAAAGCTCGAAAAACTTCTTGAGCTGTTTTCGGTCGACTGTTTTGTAAACACTTTATTGGAATAGGTGAAATGGGTTTTGTTTGTTTCGATTCGTCTGCTTTACGTCGATCCGTTTCGACAGCTAAACGTTCTTGAAGGGCAAGATTTAGTCTACCTTCCGATCGGGATCCTCGTCGATTTAGAGAGCAATGCGCTGAATTTAATTCTTCACGGCCGGAACAACTGGATATATCCTCTTCTTCTTCATCTTCTTGTACGATACTACATTTTCGGGATCTCTGTAATCAATAATTTATTTTGTTTGATGTATAGATTAATTACGTTGTAAATTGAAACACGCACGCGAACTTAAATATAGATTTTTAAATGAAAGTCATCTTATGAACTAAATAGGAAGAGAAAATATTCTTAAGAATTATTTTGAAAATTTTTTTTCATCAAATATTAGCAAATTTCTAAGATTAAATTTTACGATGCTTATGATGCAGTGACTCTACAATGCAGTAAACGGGACAAAGAATTTTTTATTGGAGCAAGCACACAAATATACGAACATGGAGTTAATGTAGAAAGGCTCGAAACGAATATAGTTGAGAGTAGATAGGTAGATCCTGTAGTATAGGAAGTGTCACACAATAACAATCCGTTGTGCAAAATACATCATCTTTGATAACAGTTAGTATAGTTACAGGTTGATGAAAATACAGCATGACGGGTGGCCTTTAGAACGTATTCGGAGAAAGTAAGATCGCGGTCTCAGTACAGAATAAATTTGCCGTTGTGGCCATAAAACCGGCAAGGCCGAAAATTCAATTACTTTACAATAGAAACACTCGAGGTATGAATATAAATACGTAAAATAAATAAACACTGTTTTATAACCTAAAATCTTTATATAAATATAGTTCTATAAATATACACATCCAAATCTGTTTTTGAGCTAACAAATAAAATCGCAAGCAATGATTATAAATTATTTGTATTCATTACAAATTAAATATAAACTATAATTACGTGATACCCTTAATACAGTCTGGATATTATCTGGCCTTTAAATTGTTACAATGTTTCAAAAAAGTCACTGTTACAATCAGCTGAATATTTACTATTACTCTTTATCATGGCTCATAGCAGATTTATTATTACTGAATCAATAACGCTATACATTAATGTTAATACAAATAAAAACCCCATTTCTTCAATAAGTACTTTGAGAGACCTATTAGCGAACAAAAATGAAAAATGTAAAATTACGATGGAACAATTCAAGGGCTCTATTAATGAGAGAAGCACGAAAATGGAAAAAAGGGTTGAATACTCCATAGAATTATCTACACGAAAACCTTTTTATACATAAATAAATCGAAAATTTTTGTTACAACTGGTCATTAATCACAATGCATCCTAACCTTTAACTTTAACGTGGCTCCCGGTTATCTTGATATTATCTACAAAGAATACTTCCACACACATCTGCCAGCAGTTGCTCTATTTTATTGTATGTTGTTTCTCATATATCCTTTTACGATACCTCCGATGATGGTCATTTGACCGAAACATGTCAGGTTGAACTTAAACATAAAAATAAACCAGTTGTAACAAAAATTTTCGATTTATTTAATTACCGCACTGGTTAAAGGAAGAATGGATCTACTTATTCAACTTTTTATACATAGTTTTTTATGGACAAGCAATGCAGAAAAACTTTGCCAAAAAGCTTTTATCTTTTATGGTTTAAGAACCTTTACGAAAAAAATTTTTTAAGGTTCTAAATACCTTTAGAATTCCTTTAATAGTGTAATTCTGCCTCTTTTTGCAAACAGGTAAGAGTTAGTAAGCAGCTTCTTACTACTACTTTAGTCAGAAAGGGATGAATAGTTCGAACTGTTGAAAGACAGCGAATTTCTGCTTAAAGTGGAGGTATACAAATTGATTTTTAGAGAAAACAAGGTAATCATGGAACTGTAAAAATAGCAACAAGAGAAAATATATTACCACAATCCCGAAAATTCAGGATCATTCTAGAGCTTCATCAAAAATAATATCCCCCACATAATATCCAGATCTCATAGAATCCAAGTCAACATATATGGTTTTTGGTATCATGAATTAGTTTATCGACAGGTTAAAGGTAACGTTAGAAATTAAGTACCTCTAAATGATTTCAACACCCAGAAAAAACGGTTACTACCCGTGATGCGACAGTTAATGAGATTGGCTTCATTGAACTCGTTTCCATTCATTTGAAGAAGTCACAATTTCTGACTTTGGCATTTAGATTAAATAAAGCAGATATTGTATCTAGCTCCTCTAACAGCGAAAGTAAAGTCCAGTAAGTAAATAAGTCCAGGTGATGTTCAGACAACTAAAAAATTTTACTTACTTTGTTTCAAAAAAAGATTAAATAGCCTCGACAGAAGATAAGGACGAATATTTATTGCTGAAGAGAAACTTGTGTATATAGCGTATTATATCTTTAGAATTACGAGATAAGACTAAAAAAACTGTGGAGCATACAGCTAACTATTAAATCTGGTATTCATAAAAATTTTCTTTAATTGATTTAATAATGTTGGAAAAGATTGTTCAAACATTACATTTATCAGTGCACAAATCGGCGCAGAGATAAAAGCAGCAAGTCAAGTCTGACTATATTAAATGGCATATCATCCCATCCACTTGATAATTTGTTTGTACATTGGCTTATTATAGCGTGAATCTCGATCTATTTTAATTTACTACATTGTTTAGCGTTTTATTAATTACTTAAAAACGTTGGTTGAAATAAATGTCATGTTTCATAATAATATATAACTCGTGTCGGAATATATCAGCCGCCACTTCCTACTCAACAAATCTACACGCTTACCACAAACACACCCTCGGTAGTCAAGCTGATAACGATAACTAGAAAAATAAATATCCGCTACAATACTAGACCCGCCAAAACACGAGTGTTTATAAACATAATAATATAATAATAATATCCCCATACTACTCGCCCAGCTGCACTTTTTAAACATTCATATTAATATTAAAATCACCAAAAATACATTTTTATTTTTAAATATTGTTAATATGTTAAAACAGATATAAATATATACTCCAATCACGTTGATATTTGCTAGTATTTGATGAAAATCTCATTGAGGAACCCCAATAAATCTCATTGTTTCATTTTAAAATCTATAGATAATTTCATTTGCAGTTATAATTGTTTACAAAAAAAAATTCAAATAAAAAAATACACAATCAAAATTAATATGTAAACACGAGATCTTTTTTTAAAATGTAACAAACAAACAACAATATTACACACGAATTACACGACGTAACTTACCGTCGTAACTTCAAAGTGCAATACACCTACTGAATGAATATTAAGTTCTACTTGACTAAATTTAGTATTTTTTATATTGTACGTGCTTATTTTAAGTTAGTTTGCCTTCAAATACTGTGTACGTGCTATAAAAGAAAAAAGAACAAAAATAGTCATGGTAAAAGAAATTATGAATAAAAAATAAAGCTGAGGGAACATTTAAAGAAAGAAAATTGTTAATTTTTTACATTTACACATAATTTAATGAGTTAAAAATTAATAAAAGTATTAAAGTTCTTTGACTTACCTGTGGTAAATCGCCAGGTGTTCTAGGTACGGCAAGTAAGCAAGGAATACCAGTGGAATTATTATTATCCCTATTAGGAATTGGAATACTTTGGGGAACAGATAAATTTTCAGGACGTTTTCCTTTAGCCGCCGTTTCTTGTCTTTTCGCACGCAACTTCCGCTCAGCCAATAAATAATATGTAGCGGTTATGTGGTTATATTCATTTTTATCTAAACAACTAAACATAAAAAAAAAATTTTCACCTAACATTAATTTATTTCTTTTTTAATAATTACTCTTGAATTTCTTCTTTCGTCGCTATATTCCCATTAACAATTTTCTGCACTATAAGATTATGATCTTCTTCGCTTAACTGTTCTCTTGATACCAAAGGCATCGTGTCGTAATTGTGATTGTCATGTTTATTGGCGACGGCAAGCCATGGATGGCAAGATATTTCTTTTAAGGTGGCCCGCTTTTCAGGGGCTCTTACTAACATTTTTGCTATTAAGCTATAAATATGGAATTAAACGTATTTTTATTTTTAATGTTACATTTAAAAGTCTTACTCTTTGCATTCTTTCGAGACATGTTGAGGAACGGTGTATTTGCAGTCCATGATCATAGTTAATGTTTCGGAATCGTTCGCTTCTTGGAATGGTGCTTGACCGCAGACTAACATATATAGAATTACACCAAGAGACCATACATCTAAAAATCAGGGAAAAAAAGTAAATTAGAGAATATGTAAAAAATTAAGGTTACTTAAAAACATTGCATTTGTTTGCGTAAAAGTAGCGTACTTAACATTTGTTATCACAAAAATAATAGAATACTTCATTGTTAAAATACTTTAAAGTTTAAAATAATCAATAAATTATAGTACGTTTTAACGAAATATATAGTTTCTTTAAATACTTTACGTAAAATGATAACGTAACCTTTTCCACATTATTCAAAATACATGCAAATATAAGCAATATTAATATAGGAATCGATTTTGCATATTGTACCTATGAACTTCGGCGGTTCATAACAAATCCAATTTTGCATATTCCATATAAACTGATGTGCAGTCAAGAGTATAAGCCAATAAAGCGATTACACTGTTATAAGTATATTATACGTCAAGCCTAATCCCTTGTTGGTTGGTATAAAATGATAAAATATAGAAAACGTACAGTACAGACAAAAAGTTTTAAATAAATTTTAAAAAATACAATAAGAAATGTCACTCTAAAATAGGTCAAACAAGTGAGTCAATTATTTTATAACGCCGTAAGTAAGGATTTCGTGGCTTAAAACTAAATATACTACATAGCGTCATTACCTCGAGCTTTTTGATCCCCAAAATACACTGAAAACAAGAATTTTGCACCCTTTGAATTCGAATTCTATCCGCAGCATCGATGCATAAGTGAAGTGCACTTCTCTCATAAGTTCACATGAATGAACCCAAATAAAATTATTGATGTTAGAGCCTTTTATTGGAATACAGACTTGAAATGGAATAAGCTTGCTGAAAAGGATTGCTGAAATGGCTTTCAAATCTCAAATCAAAGTTAAGGGAACTATTCAAATTACGAGTTAAATTATTAAAAAATCTACCAGTGTTAATTTTAACACCAGAATAAAAATATTAATTCAATTATGGCCATTAACCTATATGCAGTTTAAACTTGCTTAAACCTGCCGCATTGTATTCCTCAAACTACAGGTGTCTCGTTTGTGGTCTTTACTCCCACAAACGCAAGAAATCTGAGGGGTACGGCTATGCCCATATATATATATATATATATATATGCCCATAGCTGGCCGTTGGGAATTCTGTCGGTAGAGTCAAGAGGATTAAAAAATTAGAAAAATCATCACAACACTGGAAAAGTAAAAATCCAGATAAAGCAGACCTATCGCTATTGAAGCCCATACTTTTTTGAAGACAAGATGCAGTTATAGTGAATTCAGAACGTTATATTGAGTTATTACCAACTTTAATACGGCCACTATAACTGAAGAACGTGATTTTAGCAGGATGAAACAGAGTCAATTGATTTCCAGGGGAGCTGACATAAATTGGCCTCCACGCAATCTTGATTTAACCTTTATGGATTTTTCTTGTGAGGTTATCACAAATGTTTAAGCCAATAAACCGTCTTTGAAAGAAAATGTCTGACATAAAATGGCAGTTATCACGGAGTCTACCTGACAAGCCGTCATAAGAAATTTGCTCGTTTGATTAAGTGAGTGAAGCTGACGCGGGAGTTTTTATTTAGACCTGAGGTACCCAACCTTTGTCTTGTATCGACCTCCTGTACAAGTATGGTTCACTTCATCGACCACCTTGTATTTTTTTTTTTAATACACCTTTATTTTAAAAACACACTTATATTCATAAATAATACAAATTTGTACTTAAATAACTTATTATTTATAAATAAAATTTTTAGAAAAAAAAAACAATGCACAAAATTTCTACCCTACGTAATTAATGTGATGATTGTGCTTGTCTTGACACAATATTCGTTATATTAGGTTTAAAATTACATTATTAACTTAGGAGTAGTAACGGTCGTTACTGACCAACACGACAAAGGCTAGATAATTGAAAAGAGCGGATAGGTAAAGATAAAAGGAAGCCTCTTTTCAATTATCTAGCCTTTGTCGTGTTGGTCGTGTATCCCAATAAATTACTTTAGTACATTATTAACATTAACTTAACATTATTCTTAAATCCCCTCTTTCAAAAATGTTTAACTTATTTCTTGTTTTATGCAACAAATTATTGACATGGCTAAATCCTACTTCCACCAGATAAGAAGAGTGGACAGTCAATAATAGTTACTCTATCAGGACCAGTAAGCGTCGATACTTTTCTCGAATGACCTTTAAATTCCAAAACTTAGCATAACCATGCATTTTGAATAATATTTGTGCTTCCATATCCTCCTTCAATGTAAGCAACTCTTCTTGAATTGTATCATCAATATCAAGTCGAGGTATGTCAACACATTCAAATTTTCAATATCCCTAAATCGAACATTAAAATCATCTTTCAAATTTTGTAAATGGCTTGTATATAATATCTTCCGATAAAATGCAATCTTTTTTAATGGTGGACAATAGCTTCAGATTGCCAAAGTAACCAAATTCTTTCCGGTTTGATGTCGATATAAACAAGTCAATCTTAGAACGAAACCCAAAGATCGTCGTTCTGACTTCAATAAGGTTAACGTCTCTTCCTTGCAGTTTATTTTGTGTGGCGTTGAATAATGAATAAATAGCAGCCAAATAGAAAATGTGTTTTTTTAAGTTGGAGTAATTGTGTCGCCATTTCATTGGCAACATCAAACAAAAACTCCACGACGGTATTAAAAATCTCTATAAAACGCTGCAAACAATTTCCCTTAGACAGCTTTTTATTATTGTTTTCACACAGTTGGGCAAAAAGACGGACATTCAAAGCTTTCGATTTGATCATATTTATTGCTTTGATTATCATTATTTAAACTTTTTAAAATTTATTAAAAACTATATTTTATTGGTAGCACTAATATAGTTAGTACATATATGTATATTTAGCTATCGACCCCTGTTTCACCTTAATCGACCCCCAGAGGATCGGTACCGACCCCGTTGGGAATATTACTTTTAAGACATAAAGTAATTGTATATTTTAGTGATTAATAAAGATTGTTTCGATATAGTGTTGTTAAAGTCGATGCACTAAATATAAACTTTCTTTTGAGACAGCCTATACCTATTTCGTATATGATATCGATGTGACTATTTATTATTATGCCTAATTACACTATAGTACTGATGTATTCTTATAACGATTATTAGTATTATCTAAAAGCATAAACATGATGCAACCAGTTTCAGATTCACAGAGTTACCAGATTCACATCATCGCCAAAGTCTTTACCTAGCCAAATGGGTTTTTGATATACAAACAATCTCAAGTTTGAAAAAGGACATAAAATCTATTAGTAGTTTTCACTGTTCTTTTATACTGTGGGAATTGAAGTTTAGGATATTTATGTTACAACAAGTTGATGGTTGATTAATGGAATGACGAGAGTTGTCATTGATTTGAGATGTTTCTTCTTCTCATGTCCTGCATTATGCTATTGCATTTCAGTGTGAGCTTTAGACTTCTACAGTTGGCTGGGTGGCCTTTTCTCAAGTTTGCACATTTAGATGGATCGATCTTCTTTTTGTATTGGGCGTGATTGCTGTCCATGCCACAATAACTTTTACTGTGTCTATACCGTTAGCAGTCAAATCATTGTGGAATGTTCTACAATTTCTTATTTGGTTAAAAAGTATTGATTGCTTTATATTTTTCTTAAATATTTCTACGAGTTTTTAGTTCTTTATGATGATTGAAGGTGGAACGTTAAGCAGAACTACGGCGACAAGTTTCTTAGATGTATCTTGAAAAGTGTGGAATTTAATATTGCTTTCTATATAACATTTAGTTAAAATCCAATAGGTGTTGGTAGACGTTAAGCTGATTTTAATGAATTATTTTTGAGAGCAGTAATTAAAGGTAATCTAATGTCATGATTTTCGATATTGTACAGAAGTAGTTATTCTCAGATTGTACGTTATTAACATTACTCTTAATATTATTGTTCACAACATGGTACCTGTTTTGTGTTATTAGATGTAGATTGCGCAATTTCTAACATAATTGATGTCCTATATATTCCTCATCAAGCACAAGCTTTTGTTACCGCTGTTATGAGATTATAGCGTTGTAAGATTGAACCAACTAACAATTGAAAATCAATAACAAGTAATCTTTATAACAATATTACTGATTATTTTCCTCTATTTGTTATTGTTACAAAATTAACAAACTTGATGTCGGAACGTCTGCTGTATTTAAATATACCGAGATGAAAGGCAACATTAAAATGTTTGAAGTGTTATTTGTTTTACTTCAATTCTTCTGTTCTTGAATTATAAAACCTAAGTGAGGAAAGATGCTTCTCATCGGAACTATAGGGATATGTGTGATTCGAAGTGTATTATCAAGATGTTAACATAATTTTCATCAAATTACATGACAACCATAAAAGTAACAGTAGTACAGTAGTATTGTCCCAAAAGCTATTCCCAAAAATAAATACCTATTTGTATTCTATTTCAATACATCCTATTTGAATTATATGTATGCCACGAAGTTTATCTTTAACGATCCGAGAGAGAATTTGCAGCCGAGGCTGTTATAGATAAATCACGCCCGAGTTATACACTTTTTTTGGGTAACCGCATAAAACTATAAATTGATTTTGTACCATTTTACTTTCAAGTTTTGCCAATTTCCAGTTGTTTCTTGTTTATTAGGTGGATGAAATCTAAACATCAATTGCAAGGAGATAGGAAAAGTCAAACAGAATTTTGGGTGGAAAACCCGTTTAATGCTGTTCATTAGTTTATGATGCTAATACATAAACCGTTTGAAGGTACAAAATTTCTTACAAAGAACGTGCGCTCTAGAGATCCAAAAAAGCGTAGTTGAATTACTACATGTAATACTTTAAATAGGAGAACGAAAGATTTGAGAATGAATTAGAACATCCGCATTTAAAATCATAAAGTCAATCAATATCGCGGAAAGAGGATGCGGGTTGAGCTCGAAATAACCCAAGTCGTGTAAATAATGGTAGGGTTGTATCGATTCCTACAACCATTAATATGTA